GTGAATCAATGTATTTAGTATAAACACTGGCACCTAATTTTTATTAGAAATTATGTTTGCAAATGTTGATTTGACAGGTATTGATCCTCTCATCAAATTAGAGCAACACGCCCGTAAATGAGAAATGCATTTTTGAGTAATTTTATCAGACAGTCCATCAGTTCAGTGAGGCTAAATATGGACTTTCAATCACAGCTATATAGTAATTATGAACTGTTTCTGTGCTTTGGTGGCTCCAAAACACACGGTTGCTGTTACTTGTGCTTTTTAATATAAATATATTAGCATCATTTCTGTTGTTGTAGCCTTGTGACGACTCTGTCAGCTCCCTCTGCTGAATAAACTTTAAAAGGGATCCACAGACGGTGAGCATGGTGTTATCTTCATGAACAGTGCGCTGCTGTGTGACGTCAACGGTTTGCTTCTGCTCATGCGGGTCTCTTTGGGGATATAAACCATTCACATAGAAGTCTCATTACGTTCGGGTTTAATTAGTGGTATGAATGACTTAAAAAAAAAAAAGACTGAAATTAGACAGAAATTTTAAATTCTTTATGTGTAATCTATATATACCCACAAGAGGTCATAAATAAACTGGGTTCATCAGAAAATACTTTCAACTTTCCAGGTATACAAGACAGAAAAAGCCTTTAGCATGCAGTCTGGAAGCATTGTGAGAGTAGCAGCATTTCCTTGTCCTTCCTAACTTTTTTTCCAAGTATTTGCATACATTTTTATGTATGGGGCTTGATGTGTAGAATGCCATAAGAAGTGAGGATCATGCAAAAGAATTATTAAACATGTCGAAAAATGTCTGACAACCAATCTTAGATGGAGCTCAAATTGTGTATGCAACGGCATCCAATGCAAAGAAGCCAGGCTGGAATGTTATTCATTTAAAGCTGCATATATTTGCGCACCATGGGGATAACAGCCCTGAATTCTGTTTACCACCAAAAGTATCAGGTTTACCAAAGAGGCATTTTGAGTATTGATAAAAATGTCAGTTGTTAACATACCTCTGCATAACACTGACCATAAAGCATTCCAGGCCTGTTGAGCTGGCTCCTGACAAATCCCATTGCCAGTGTCTATTTGTTGTGAAAGGATAACATTTATATCTCTAACAGTCCAGGAGTACTAAAAAGGATTGTTGGAAGTGAGCAGTAATGTCTGAAAGCTTATTAAAAAAGTTGTATATTCTTCTCATGAAAGTTTCATCTTTTCTTCTTTTAGTGTTTTTTATAGGTCAGATATTTTCACTGACATCAGTCATGTTAGCACTTGTGATGCTTAGCTCTAATGGGTTTCTCTTTTCTACCACTATAGGTTTTTTTCTTCTTCTTCAGGCTGCAGTGTTATTACCTTGTCTGTGTGAAAGATGTGTTTGTACAGTGTGACTTCGGTTTTCATCTTGCAAGCAAAGTGACCAATACTGAGGGCTCATATGTTTAGCAGGGCATGACGAGGTTTTTTTTTTTTTCTTTTTTAAAAAAAATCTCTATGAGACCCACATCGCTTGTGTTCAGTATTGAATATCCAAAATGCTGAATTTCAGCATTTTGCTCATTTCTCACTCAAAGCTCTCAACATCTGCTTGTGTGGAACAAAGGTTTACTCCTATGTTGCTCCACTGAAGGTGTCAATGGTAATAAAAAAATAATAATAATTAAGAAATAAAGTTAGATTGTTCACATTTTTACACACCATTAATTTCTTAACTATCTTTTCTGTCAGGATATGTTAGAAAAAACATCTTTCCTATGTGTTTCAGCAAGCTGTTGCATGGCCGCAGTCTGCCCTCTAGTGGTCAAAACCATTATTTGGTTTCAAAATTGGTTTTAGGAAAAATTTTCCAAAGTATTTTTTTATCACGTACAGAGGGCCCTCTTGTCTAAGTTATTGAACTTTTCTTTTTCCTATAATGGTGGAAAAAAAACGTATTATAGTCCCGTGTGGCTTGTAGTGAGAACAGGACAAAATGTAGCTCCATTTCACTTGAAGTTAAGGAAGATATACAAATGTGACGGAGAGAGAGCGGAGTGAATTCCACCATGTGCACCCATTTGCAGCCTCAGCAGATGGTATTTAATATCCAATCACCATTTCTGACGCTATTACCCAGTCATTTTTACATTTATGTTTGAAGTAGATGGCTTTTCAAGCAAACCAGCAGATGGTTTGAAATGTATGCTTGGAGACAGTTGTGTAACCATTTTATTACCATTTTTCCTTTCAAATTGCAACCAGCTATTAAAAGTAGCAAATGGAAGAAAGTAAATGTTAGATAATGTTTTTTTCTGTTTTATGGTTTAAAAAAAGAGAGGAAGTTAAGGATGATTTTAGTTAAAACCAAGGAAGTAAAAGTTCATCTCTCTCTTTTTTTGCCATTTTAGTGTCTAATATTTTATACCTCAGAAGTGGGAACAGAAAAAAAGCCCTTTTGGATTAATTTAATCCCATCTCTGAATTGTTCTTAAAGGTGAACGAGCGTGTGTGTCTCCATTGTTTTGTCCCATAGTTTGTGTTCAGATGATGATGTGTACTCTCATTTTTCCACTACAGATCCCTTTTTATTGCGTCCATGCACCGCCTCCTTCCATATTCTTACTGTTTCTCCTACATATCTTGTGGCCAATTGCATTCAAGGCTCCTTTTTCAGCAATGACTTTCTTGAGCTCATTCTTCCAAAAACTGTCAGATTCGTTGTCAGATTTATTGCTTGTTTTTTTTACAGGACAGCCAATAGATATTCTGTTAACAGATACTCCCACATGAGCTGTGGATCTCTGCAGTTCCTCCAGTGCTGGGTTTTGCCAACTTGAGAAAATGTTTTGCAACATAATTTCGCTTTTCTCTCCACAATGTTTTTCCTGATCTGCTGTGTTCCTTGACCTTCAGAAAGATGTTTGTTCAATAATATTTTCTAACAAACCTCTTGCTCTCTGCTACTTCATTGAAGTCAGATGGTTGTGTTGGACATTAGTTAGTGGAATCAAATGTTTCACTTTTTTTGAAACATATTAAATACTACCAAATTGGTGAAGTGGCTTTTCCTGTTCTATCCATAGTTTTCATTTCACACCATTGTGCAGTTATGAGCCACGGTGGTAAAACTTGAAACTGCTGCTGCGCCAGTTACTCAACAGGTTGTTGCTAGGTAACCAACCCCTCCTTAACTTTTATGTTGCTTGGTAACCAAAGGTGTCTGTGAGAGGTTGAGTAGCTAAAGTCTTTTCTCTGCCTACATCCCCCAAAATGTTCAATTACTTCATTAGTGAAATTCTTGAATATTCTGTCACACTTATTATTTTGATATTGCTATCGATCACGTATCTATTGCAATATATATTGCTATTGATTTAACATCAAGTCCTATTTCACCATCACTGGTAGATAAATTCTTTTCTTCACAAATTTGCAGCACATCCAGGAGATAATTTTTCATCTTCAGCTCTTAATGGCTAAACTAACTCATCCTTGACAATAACAGTCCAGATCAGCACTGATTGTACTCCGTCATAAGGCGTGAGTGATGCAACGCTTCAAAAAGAAATCTATTTAGTCTGTCAATTTATCTTTCCAGAAACATCTTGGTTCACTGTTGTCCTGTCAGTTTCTAAAACTTGTTCAGGCTAATGTCTGGAATGGTGTTTACAATGTTTTCTGCGATTGTCTCAGAGAATATTCTCCCTCATTGTGCTTCTTTCTCACATCCTTTGTGTAATTGTTGACTAGTTTAGAAAGCGCCCTATTGTCTGGTGGTCACGCATCAATAATTCAACTAAGTGTGACATTTTTCAAAGTGTCATAATACAAATGTCGATTAGATCCCTTTGTTGGCCTATTTGTTTGCCGTGACAAAAATCATCATACAAAATATCATAATACAGAGCCTATTAAAACTATTCACTCCCTCGGACAATTTACCCTTTCGTTGCTTTTGCAACTCAATCAGGATGAACAAAATTTGACATTTTTCACCAAATAATTCTTTGATGTCAAAGTAAAAGCTGAGTTCTGCATAATTTTCAGTTTCAAATTAAGATGATGTCTGGGGTGAAAAAAAAGAATGAACTCCAAGTCACATTTATTCAACCAGCTCTGGTCAACCTGAACCAAATAAAGGGCTTGGAAACCATATTTAGACCTCTGCACTTCCAGTTACTTCACTCTGATGATTTCAGAGGGGAAAATCTTGACACCCAGCTGCTGTTTGACCGGAAAGGTCGTCTTCAGACTGTCTGGTGGTCTCTAAATGTTTTGGTCGGTTCTCATTTGGACTTAATACTAAATTGTTAAAAGTTCTACAAACTATCTTGCAGAAAAAGTTGGATTCTGGTCTCTATCTCAGGTGCATGAAGGCAAAACGAACAAAGCTGCTGAAATTAAGAAATTAAATGGAGAATTTTAAAAAAATAAGTTAAGATCAATAAAACTTTGCGACTCTATTTTAACTCGAGTTGATCCAGAACTTGCTAGATTACCAGATTGTTGTGTTTCTCTCGTGTCTGACCATCATTTTCTCACTGCTTCCTGCAGCATACGTAAATCACTTCAAACTAAACTGGGGAGTTTAGTATTTCTAACACATGTATTTTTATCAAAGTTGAAAATTACTAACTGTTCTTTCAACATTCTTGCTTAGATTTTAGGAGAAAAGACACTAGATTCGAAAGTTACAGTAAAGATTACACACAAGAACTAGGATAATTTACTCTAACGAGTATTTCTTGACATCCATCCAAACAAAGGGTTTCTCATAACTGCAATAAATCTTTAATTTTCTGAGTCTCCATTATTTTTAGTTTAACTTAATGTCTTTTTGTTGATCTGGGTCATATTGGGGTATGTGTATCAGGTTTCTGACCATCCATAACAAAGTGTAACACAAAAGAACGTTAATTACTTTTAAGAAATTGAAGTCAGTTCAGCTAATGGTCAGATTAATGGATACAAGGTTTTATTCTCTGAAAGTAAAAACACACATTTGAAGGGAAGACAAATGAATACAGAATTTTCAAAAAAAAATAATAATAATAATAATTCTTTAACAACGTACAATAAGAAAGAGTCTAAATAAAATAACGCATTCAACGGTACGCTCATTTGGTTTAGTCAAACAACACTGGAAGAGAATGACATCAGTCAGGACTACAACACCTTCAGTCGCTGGAAGATAAAAACGTCTGCAGACCTTAATAACCTGCTACATATATGTTACAAGCTACATCCATGTTAGTTCAACTACCAACACAAAGTTTTTCATTCATCGGAGTGTTCACCGCCTCACTCCAATGCCAGGTAATAAAATATTGTATTATTCTCATCGAGTAAAATAGTCACTTATCTGATGTGCTTGGTTAAACTTCTTTAAGGCTTTTTAAATATAAAACTAGAATTATGACATCATCTTTCTATGGCAGGAAAATTTAAGACTTTTCTTTAAGCAAGAGCCCTCTGGGTTTTTTTTTTTTTTTTTTAATCTCTTCACTGGTAAACAATATACCCATTCGTGTTATTAAAGCAGAAATGTTCACAAGTCATTTTTCCAAGTTCAAGTCAAGTCATGAGTCTCTAAATCCTCTGACCGTTCTCACACTGGATGCATGGCACAAGCCACAGTTACTATTATGGAGATAACTCATTGTTATGAGACACAAAATGTCTCCCCAATTAAAATATAAAATTGTTCCATGAATGAGATTAAAACTAGTTTTTGATTTAATCAATAAGGAAGTGTTTTCAATAAGAACAGGGCAGTGCAAATCTTTGCAATAGAGGTGGGAATTTATCGTATCATTTATCATTCTGATGAATTTCTTATCACGGTGAGGATTTTGATTTATTGTTGTGATGATAAATTAGAATTATTGATGCTTAAAAAAACCAAACTTATTGTACAGATCAATAAACATTAATCAAATTGAAAACATGATTAAACACAGTGACTGTGACCTTTATGTGACCGGCGTTCTTCAAGAGCAGTATTTATGTTTGTGAATCTGCAATTGCTCTGACATGCAGTCTATTTAGTTGAACTGAAGTAATGTATAGTTCCTATTGTCATTTTTAGTGATAAAAAAAATCACAATTGTACAAAATATGGTGATAAAACTTTGAGTCTGAACTGCCCACCCCTCATTTTTATTTTAATGCTGTTTCCAATCTAAAAAGACATTAAATTGAGTGTCTTCTCAAATAACCCACAGTCACAGCTCAAAATGAGAGACATCCATACAGTCATTATTATGATGCTACATTAGATATGAACTGGTAGCTATGAGTCGTTAATGGTCCTTGGCCCGCAAACATTCCTGATTAATTAATTGAACACAACCCTATTGCATCAGAACTACACTATCGTCGTAGTTACTAAACTAAATGGTGATCAGTTTTAGCAGGAAACCAAAACAGAACAACTTGAAACTTTACTAGGTAGCATTATTAGTCACCTACTAAAATGAGCTACAGGTTAACTGTTCACCTCCATTACATGAGACTCGATTCTCGAACCGCGAGTGTAAGTCGAGTTTGAAGTCATCATTACATATTCTGCATAAACTCAGAAATTTGTTGTCTCTTGTGGAGCTGTGAGGAAAGAATGACCTCGTTGAGTTTTTGCGGCTTGTTCTCAACACATTGTGTCGAAATAATTTCTTTATATTTTTTATCAGAAATTTTCTCTGGGTGTCACTAATGACAAACAGTGAAGTTTGAAATGTTCTGATTTGGTCTACATTTGTTCTTTTTATAAGCCGACAGATTCCTCAGTTATTGCAGAGAATGTAAAGTCTTTAAGTCAAAGATTTGAGTCTTAATCTGTGTTAAAGTTGACAAAAAAAATAAATAAAATGTAGCTCTCCTGCATTCACATTGAGTGCTTTACATTCTTTTTAGCATGCATTGCTACATGCAAGCAAAACAGCATAATCCACAACATATATATATTTATACAGTAACAAGGAGCAAAGACATTCCTGCTTTATGAATGAAATCAGTTTCAGTAGCTACAAGGGACAGTTTATTCAACAAACAGAATTCTGTCATGCGCAAAAAAAAATCTAACAAATAAATAAATACAGCTTTTTGTCATTGCAAATCCCCCCCCCACCCCCCAACCAATAATGCCCTTTACACCGACTTCCTCCTGAAACTACTGAACTCCTGGAAGCTGTGCTCATTGCTTCTAGGGGAGGAGAGTCCAGTATTGTCCCTGGATCTCGATGAGCAGCCGTCGATCCTGTAGGAGACTGAGTTGTAGTAAACTGAGTTAATGTGGCCTCCGTGGTGTTTGCTGTGGTTCACCACGGGGTCGTCACAAACCTCTGAGCGGTAACACACGCAGGAGGAGCAGAGGGAGCTGAAGCTCGTCTCCTCCCTCCGTCTTCCTGGCTTGATCCGAAAATGCAGCCTGTGCCTGCAGGGACTTTGCTGCCTTTCTGTGTCCTCAGCTGGGGAAGGAATGAGGTTGGTGCGACTGGTTCCCTCCTGCATGGGGAGGAAGAGCATGCTGTGGCTGCGGCCGTGCGCCATGCTGTCCCTGCTGGTCCTCTCCCTCTGTTCACCAACAACATGGAGGCCAGTGGGCCCCTCTAAAAGACCCTTGCCTCTCTTGAGTGAAGCTCTCTCCTGAGCATCCCGTCTTTCATCCTCGGTGTTCATGGTGAGGAAACGCAGGACCACCAAATTGAGAAAAGCTCCAATTACCGTCAGCCCCACCAGAATGTACATGAAGCTGAAGGCGACGTAAGGCGTTTTCTCCTGGAGGTCCTCCTTCTTCTGCAGGGCCACAAAGTCTCCAAAGCCAATAGTGGTGAGAGTAATGAAGCAGTAGTAATACGCATGGAAAAAGCTCCATCCCTCAAAGTGGGAAAAGGCTGCGGCTCCCACACACAGCGTTCCAATGCAGGACAAGAAGCCCACCAGCACCATGTTCTCCATGGACACCTCAGTGCGTCTGAAACCCAGGCACTGCTTCATTTTGTGGAGGAGGTAGCGGACGAACGTGTTCATTCTCTCTCCAAGGCTCTGGAACATCACAAGAGTGAGTGGAATGCCGAGAACAGCGTAGAACATGCAGAAGACTTTTCCTGCATCTGTTCCTGGTGCAGCGTGTCCATACCCTTAATGCAGAGAGGTAAACAGAAGAAAGATGAATGTTGTAGCAACACTTGGGAGGTACAACATGAGGTAAATATTTCTTTGAAATGCAGCTGAACTTAAGTAAAACATCCTTACTTCCAAAGAAAGGAGGGAAAAAAGCAGCCCCTCAACTTACCTATGGTCGTGATGACCGTAATGGCAAAATAAAAGGAGCCAGCAAATTTCCACTGCCTGCCGGCGCGGTGGGGCTCCGCTTGCAGCACCACTCGCTCGATTTCGCGGTAATCGTCCTCGGAGAAGCGGTACTTCCTCTTCATCTCACTGCGCTTCTGCTCCAAGATGCGCCTGCGGGAGTTCTCCGACTCGGACTCCAGCGCGTCAAACACCGCGGCGCCGACCAGCAGGTAGGAGAACATGCAGAGGATGAGCGAGAGGGTCCGGACGTTCTGCTTCTTCATCCTCGGTGTCGGCATGGGGAGTCCGGAGGATGAAGGAGAAGGTGGGGAGGCTGCAGTTACAGGTGGTGCGGCTTTTCAGCGTACAGTCATCACATCGACGCTGCAGCCTGTTGCGTTCAAGCAAAGCAGCGGAGGCGGGCAGGCAGGAAAATAAAGCCTGCAAGTGCGGTTTGAACGGCTTTGAGTGTGTGTATAAAAATGCGTATGTAGCCTACCTGCTCTTGATGTGGCCATCTGTTTAAACAAGTGGCTCCGCATTACTTCATCGCATGCGCAAAGCAACCTCCAGTGAAAGGCTGTGCCTAATGTAGGTGTGTTTTTGGAGAGCCTTCAGCACCACGGACAGCAACCTGCGAAATTCAGTCAGTTGTAGACTTTGAAATAAACAGTGCCACAATGTCCTATAATGACCATGACAGCAAACCTTTTATTTTTTTCAGATAAATACGACCAGATTATTGGTACAATAAACAATGCTTTACATTAACTTAGTCTGAAAACAAAGGAAGCAAAGCATTTAAAAAAAGAAACGCCTTATGTTTTCTTCTTAATATTACAGCGAGTTGAGATTTTAGTGGCTCTATTTGGGTAGCTCAGATAAAAGAGTAGAGGTGCAAAGTTTGCATGAGTAAAATATTTAACCAAGCAGTATATTTCTATTGATTTTTGGTGCTCCATAATAAACTGTTCCCAACATCCCAACAGGAGCTTTCTAATAAATAATTTATTTGTTGTCAATGTGAGATAAGACTGTGGCTGCAGCGGGGCATTTTGTCATGCTAAATGAAAAACATAACATATTTGCATTGCAGAAACTAATTCAGATGTTTTCTAAATTGTTCACACTGGGGTTTTTCTGCACTGAAGATGTATGTTCTCCTTGTGCATGTCGTGGGATCTGTTCTGGTACTTTGACTTCCTATTTTAATCCAAAAGTATGACTTTCAGAGTCATTGATAACTCTGGATTGTCTTCAGGAGAGAGAGTGTGTCTGTGTGTCTGTCCACTCTGTACCTTGCCTCTTGTGGCCCAATGGACGCTGGAGATAGGCCCCACTTACTTAATTTTTATTCAGTTTTGTTACTTTTGGACTTCCATACAGATCTTAAAACAGAATCGTAAGCCAGTTCAAAGTTAAATCAAAAGCTATTATTTGGAGTCAATTATTTTAAAGCTTCAAAATTATACGTTTTTGAATAGTTACAAATAAAACTAAATGAAATGGTATTGCTGCCAATTTTAATTATCAAATGACTATATCAAAGCATTTTACTTAAACGGATTTTAAATGAAACATGGAAAAATAGTGAACAAATTAATTCTTCACTGCAGTAAACAGTTTAAAAAAAAGGTGATAAAAACTTTATTTAAAAATAACATCACATTCTTAAAAAAAGTCAGATTAGAGAAACGTGCTGATTTTTTTTCTCAATATTAAAGTGCTGCACAACATGTACAATGTGAGTGAACAAAACGGGTTGGCTAGATGCTTCCTTACTGTAGGTGATGCCGGTTGCCATGGTGACTGCACTTGCATCCGAGGCACAGACTTTGGCCATCAGTTAGGATGAAGCTAATAGAAACGTAATGATCATGGCTCTTGGCTGGTAAATGATATCGTCAATGCATCACAGCTTTTGTCTTAGTCGAATGTGAGGAAGACGAAAAAAAGGAAAGAGGGAAAGACAGAAAGAAACAAAAATGAATGAAGAAAGCAACAAAGAGACGAGGAAAAGAAGCTGCATCTGAATAATGCAGGTGGATTTTCATGTGTTCTTTTGTTCTCACAGAGCATCCTGCTCTATGTGCTCCTGTTTTTGTCTTAAGTGGCTAAATCAGCACACTTATGTCCTTGTTTGGGTTCAACCAGCTCTCCATAAATCAATTACATCTCAGCTGATAAGAGAGAAACCTGATGCTCCAACAGCCACCAATCAATCCAGACGGCTTTGAGTCACATCCTTTTCTCTGCCGACAGACGTGGGACAAAGTGAGGGAGGCTCCATCGACTCAAAGAGATAGATGCTTCACTTAATGAGCTCTGCTATCTCTGTTCTCGCAAAGGTACATTGTATTAGGACACGAGCGCACACACACGCACACACACACACATGCACGCACCGTATATTATCATCTAATACGGAAAGTTCATATGCATGCCTCACAGGTTTGAAATTTATGTTTATTTTTCTCTGAATGTCCACAGATTTTCTAAGACATTTTAAAGATACAAGAGACATTCAGTGGGCAGAACGTATTTTTCCTGTGCTGAAGAAACAAAATCTGTAAGAAAAAAAAAAAACTCCTGACATTATATCTGGTGTAGAAGTTAATCTGACGGAACGGATTTATAAACGAAGAAGTCGCCTGTCAGGGCAGGCCATTAAAACCCAGGAAGAATCTCAAAAGAGATAAATGTGTAAATTGTTGGCTTGTCACCAAGAGGCCCATGCAGAGATACTGATCTGCTGGTTGCCTCTGATTATAGAGTGGGCAGATTATGAACACCTGATAAGAGTTTTTAGAGCAGAAATCTCATTATAAACTTCTCAAGAACTAATTTGGTTTCACTGACGAATTCATTTGGCTGGGAAGCTTAGCGGTGATTGGGAGGGAAGATTCTCAGAATCTGTTGTGGAGCTTCCTTTTGCCTTTTTTAGCTTCTAATTTCTGCCGTGTTCAATAAAAAACAAAAATCTGTAAAATGGACAAATATAACACACACAACATGTCTTATACTGTATATAAAAACTGGATGGAACGGGCTATTAATTTACATGTTTTTTAGTTCTCATCAATAAAAATAAAACAGATGAGCACTCACACATTCCCTCCTATGTGAAATATAAATCTACATTGAACTTTTCAGTTTGTTTTGTAAAACTATGTTTTCTTTCACCTCAGAAGTTCGCAATACAAGCATGAAAAATATGCCTTTTTTCTCTTAAAGCTTAAACTTCTTTAAATGAAATGGTCATTCATATTTCAGAAAAGTTTTCTGGCATGTTAATTTAATTTTGATTATATTTTTAACGTTAATCTGAAGCAACTAAAACCTAGTTTTGGAAGATTGATAGTCCAAGTTGAGTAAAATTAATTAAATAATACACAAATAAAGATTTTCCATTCCTCTTTACAATAAAGACATCTACTGAAGTATCAAGTGGGTTTTTTTTTTTATATTGCATATTTTCAGTTCAAATGATTGTTGCTTTGCCAAAGTGTGGCCTTGATTTGGACTCTAAAATATCAGCAACACTCGACTCTTTTAGAAATGATGAACCAAAGAAAACTGTATTGATGAAAATCTCTACTGAACTATTTAACCTTCAGTAAAATACACATTCAACACAGAATAGAAAGGCGCTGCTGCCGGAACTGCTATTATAACATGTATTCTGTAATATTTCTCTTAAAAAGCAGGAAAGCATGGACCAGGTAAAAAATACATATAACTGTGGGATAAATTTTTTAGTTTGCAAGTTTTACAGCACATATAAAGGGAAGCACCGGTTTCTAACACAGTGGAGTCTAACTGTGTTAGGAAGGATCCTGCTGAAGCGCGTTCTGACTGATTATGGTCTCACTTGGTGGTGAGAAAATTGAGTTGCTGCAGAGTAACAAATCACCTCCTAAGTTTGCTGCAACTCAATTACAACTTTGCTTGGCACCTTTTTACCATACGAGACTAGTATGTCTAAAAATATAACCTGCATTAATACTGAGCAGCCATTATAAGTAACATTATAAGTTTGGCTTTCTAGGTATTTTTATAGCTTACTGGATATATTTTCTGCAAAATTCTCCCATTAGTAGCTTATATAGTTTTCACTGGAAATTGCCATCAATAATAGATTTTTTTGTTCCTTTTATCATCAGCTTCATTATTATTCTGCATTTGTGTATAAAGTTTTCCCCTTCGCAACATTAAACAGAAAAGTGAACATTTGGATTCCGGTGACTGAGACGTTTGTACGCAACGTTAATCTGAGCGAATCGGATCCTCTCGCGTTTGCTGATCTCACACAGAGAAAGGTGACAGGGGTTTTATGAAGCAGAGGCACAAAATAACAACAGCAAACACTTGCATGCCTGCAGAGCCCCGTGGTTACCACAGTAACGACGAGCAAAAATAGTAACCCACACCAGCATCTTTTCAACACCGAATCCCCAGTGATAACACAGGATTCTATTTATACCCTCTAATGATGAAATAAGACGGTGTTTAAATGTATCAGTCCAATTACAGTGAAAAATGAAGAACATGTTGCCACTCCTGATGTCCCTGTTTCTGCACAGCCTCTCATGGAGAATAATATGGTCAGATTTCAGACTATAAATGTGTGTGTTGTGTACAAATAATGTTTATGTTGAGGACTTTGGATCAATCTCAAGAAAAACTAATCACATTTAATGATTTTACAGTGTGGACTTACACTGACGCTGCAATATATAGAAACATAGCTATGTTACCATTCTTTATTATATACTGTACCTATTTGGATTGTATGCACAAGTAACACAGATATTTCTACAATCCAGGAATTATCCACTCTTAGGCATCTTCAACTTTATTTTAACATTTGCCCATAATTTCTTTAAAAAAAAGAAATGTGACAATCAGGTGTGAACAAAGAAAAAAATTATCTACCATAATTTGAACTTCACAAACACACACTATTTGATTAAATAAAAGGAGGTACCTGAAGGATGACAAGAGAAAGAGGAACTGATATTGCTCAGGTAAAAAAGAAAGAGATGAAAATCATCTCTACCAAATTACATTCTGGCGAACAATATATGCATACAGAATGTTTTCAGTCCCAGAAGAGGTTGACAAATTTATGGGGGAATTTTTCTGTCAAAATCTGCCACATTTTCAGTCTGAAAAGCAGGATTTTATGTCTTCTGTTATCAAAACTTTTAATATGTTTGCTTATATTTTTATTTTGAAAGCAGGACTTCACGGCTTTCTTCTCAAAAATTCTGGGTGAGGTCAACATAACAGACTTCAACTCATGCAGCAACACAAGAAACTCAAGCACAAACAAGACAAGAGAAAAACAGTGAAAAGAAGGCAAATAATAAAAACATATCACACTGGACTCTGTTTCTATCTGCTTTATTTGGGTTGACGTTGGAGGGTTCTTTCAAAATTCACACACATCTCACTCAGGTCCAGACTCTCAAACCTCTCTGCTCATGTGTGCAGCATTCTCAACCAGTCCAGTCAGTTCTGTGGCTGATGCAAATCTCTTCTCTTGCTTCATCTGAAATCTGAATTACTTCCTGACTTTCTTGGTCAGAGCAGCTTAGTGCATTTGACACAATGGATTTCCTGTGGAGAAAAACATGTCCAAATAATATGATTATTAACAAATAACATGGTTATTATTCATACACTCTTCCAGTCTCTTTCTAAATGCTGACATTAGCTGAGTTTAGTAATCTCGGCAGTGCTTCAGATGTTGTTCTGTTCTTATGTGACCTCTTGGAAGAATCAGCCGAGTGCTCTTGATGTAATTTGGGCACCCTGGGAAAGTCCACCTCTGTTTGATGTTTTCTCCATTTGCAGGTTCTCTGAGTTTAGTTTCAAAATGTCTTCTTAATATTTCCAAGAACATAAAAATTGGTTTCCGGAGAAATGGAAGAAAGTTGTGCGGTTTGAGAGAAAAGGGCACATCAGGGTACAAACCGAGCTGCATAAAGTGATCATTTACAATTTGTAAATTATGTGTATTCCACTATAGTTTGCACTAAAACATCAGGTACAGATTTTGATATTTGGACTGCTGCCGCTGCTGTTTACTAGTGTTTGTTCAAGTAATTACTGCAATTAGTTACATTATTTATGATCTTTATAACAATATTCTGTCTGTCCTTAACAAACAGCTTTTTCCTTAAAGTCAAGGATTTAAAATCTCAACATAATTGAACCTGATATATGAGTTTCAGAGATAAAACAACAGAAATAGAACATTTAAAGTTAGAACTTCAACAATTAATCATACTATTAATATCTATAATCACTTCCATTTGGAGCTCCTCGTTAATCAGTTAGATTTTCTGTTTTTTGTTGATGTTGCATTTTATAAATTACTAAAATAAAACAAATTCAATATTACTAATTGATTTATTTTAATTACTTTTCATTATTGCATTTTGTGGACTAGATGTGCGAGAATTAATATACATCTTAATCTTGTAATTAGATCATACTGATTGAAAGTATTTAGTCTTCTGCTTCAAATTTGATAGAGACCTATAAAAAATATATGCAACATTATTAATGAGACTGAGAAGACTTTTGATTTATAAGTATAATTAAGTGGACTTATAAATTAAAGAAATACACTTATTCAAATTTGAATTGAGACTGATCATTATGAAAGTTATGATTTTGTGTTCTGGTTTACAAATAAAAATCTAAGATTTTTACCTTTTAATTAAAACATTCCTAAATTTATTTATAAAACATATTTTATTTCAATATAGTTATTATTCACTTGACCTGCATGTTTTTGCTGCGCCGTTACATAACTGTCAGATGGAAAAAATAGTTTTTCTGTACTTAAAATAAGCTGTCTGACTCAGCTGATTTGCACTTTAACCCTTACAGCCAACACAAAAATTATATTGCCTTCAAGTAGAATCGTAAATATAAAATTATAAATCCTTGTAAAAAATACTATTAGAGTGCCAAATAGAACCACGTTAAAGTAATTTCCCTCTTTAATCATATGACACGAAGAAGTGACTAACTCAAATAAATTGTTTTTGAAGGTAAACTTGAGGTGAATTTAGCTATGTTGATTATTACTGTCAGTGTCTCCAATTGTTGTTGCATGACGATCATCAGAAATGCGAGTTCGCATTGGAGACTCACTTTATGAGAGTAGAGGTTTCTTTACGTTAATATAAAAAGTACCTAATATTTACGTACACCTTTTCCTTGGTAAAGTTTTTTTGTTAATTCTCACATTTCCTACTCGGTGCAAGCACGTGAACGCAGCGGCATCACTGCAGCCGTTATACGACGGAAGGCGACAGAGACGGATGGTCAGGGCCGTCCCCGTCTCTAACCCGAACATGAAAGGAGAACTGATTCAGACCCGGTTATAGTACCGAACCAGGCTACGCTTTTGTATACTCTTTATTTTTTTTCAATTACAAAAAACAAAACAAAAAATGGAAGACGAGTATATGTGTGAATACGACTCGACGTGGGACACAGAGAGTGATGGAGACGACCCGGCCGGAGAGAGCCAGAGCCGTCGGTCAAATCAAGACAAAAACAAGTCTTCTTGGGCTATAGTAAGTGCTTTCATTGCAGGCCAGCTCAGTTTTAACGCGCAAAAACTCTGTCCTGCTATCATTCACTTCCGTTTAGACACGTACTGTAGCGGAAAAGCTAATGTTAGCTTTCTCCTCCCTGCTGCAACCTCGCTAACTAGCTTAGCTAGCCATTGTAACTTCCTTCTTTAAAATATTTGGCTTACGTTTTATTATCTAAGCCTCCGTTTTATTATTTATTAAAGAGTTTTTGAGCTTCATCGTTAAATAGAGTCCCTACAGATCGCACGACCAGAAGTGACTACATCTATCCTGCTTTTATTTAACTTGTATAATCTTGATGCGCTAATTAGCTGCAACTAGATGCAGACTAATTAGATTTTCTTTTAATTGCAGTGGCATCACACACCCAGAAATATGAGGGCAGCAAAAGACATGCAGAATTACAGAAGAGGATATCCTGTAAGTAATACATGGGAATTTAAAAAATAATTTCCGTTTAGAGCAATTAATGATGAGCTTTTTTTATTATATTTCCAGAATCTAACAGATGATGATTGCTCAGAAGACAAAATGAACAACCTGCAGTTCTATCTAAACAAGTTTCCATCTGCTCCTGATGGTGACACATTTTTGTTTTTTAAAGATTGGCATTTATATTTTTAAAGTGTTTTTGTTTTGTTCTAATTGTATTTTTTTTATTTTTTGGTACAGATATCTATATTGAGTGCTTTCTTAAAGAATGGAAAAACGACTACAAAAAACTGGAGCGGGTTCACTCTTACATCCAGTGGTATGTATTATATGAGTGTTTAATTCAAATATACTGTAGATACACAATACGTGTTTGTATTTAATATTGCAGTTGCAAAAGACTGTTTGGATGGAATATTTAATAGGCTGTGGGATCCAGTCTCAATACAATAAAAAACAGAACTGCATTGGAAACAAAGCAGCTGCACGATTTTGTCATATTTGCTGTGCATCAGTTTCCCCAATGCTGGTTCTTCAGCCACACTGCCCTGCAGGTTTTAGCTGTTTTCATGCTTCGGCACACCTTTTTAGATTTGAAGGGAAATGAAGCTCAAGACAAATTGATTTTCTCCAGATGTGTTAGAGTATTTAAGAAACTCTGCCTGGAGGACAGCGGGTGACCAATGCTGCTCAAGGTTTTGGGGGTTGAACAAATTTAATTCTGACGACACAGAAGTAAAGCGTTTCCTGTGTGTGTAATGTCAGATCGTTCTCAATCATTAAGCTAAATTTGTAGATACGAAGACAAAAACGTATATCTTTAAAAATATGCTCACCATATATGTTTGGATTTGACATTTGCAGCATTGTTGTTGGCTTTTGGGGATAAAGAAGTCCTTAATTTTATTGTGTTTACAAAGATCAGCTTTTAGCATATCTGCAGAGCATTTTCAATAGTTGCTGTTTTTTCTCTCTTCAATCATCTGCAAGGCTGTTTCCACTGCGAGAACCAGGGGTTAATTATATGGCTTCAGAGCTCACCAAGAAGGAAATTGAGGTAAGTTAGTACTACTGAACTATGACTTTAAACAGGTTTGTTGCTCTTTAAAATTTAGGACTGCCAAATTTTTTAAATAACCTAATTGTCTTTTACTTTCTGTATTTCAAAGTTTTAATTTAAGTTGTTTCACAGAAAAGCGTTTATTTTAGTATTAAAATGTTGACAGAATTGCTAATATAAATAAATTTCCTACCAAATAGTTCATAATACATAAATATTTCTTTGCAGCATCTTTTTTTTTATTTTTATTTTTTTACACAACTTAATATAACTACTTACTGACATCTGTATAAAAAAAAAGCTGCTGCTATCAACTGGGCTTTTTGGACTGCAGTAAAACAAGAGATGGTTCAAACTGAGGAAAAGATGGATCAAGAGTGTGTTAAGCTGGTGTGGAGGCGTTGGGAGGGTGCAGCCTGCTCTCTTAACAGTCCTGCAATAGCAAAGCCACATCTATGCACATGGTGAAAGTGTTCACATTGACAATATTTTATTTGTAAATGTTGTGTGCTCGGAGTGCTAATTTATCGTTTGTGATAAAAGTGTTCTTTTGGGTACTATATAAACTGTTTTCATGCAGTGTTTTCTACATTGCATGCTGGATATTATTTCACATCTCTTTTTTTTTCAGATGTTCTCTGCCGTTTTGAAATCCAATTGTTTTATTATTCAGTCATGTAACTTACCTCTCCAACTACCTCAATTAGGTATTTTCATTTTTGTCTTGATGTACTTATTTCTGTGAATCCAAATGATTTGCTTATTGCTGAGTCCTTGTAGTTGTCATATTACTAAAGCACATTATGTCACAAAGAAAAGAAAAAAATAAAACGTGTAAATAATTTAGCTTTTACTCTGTGCTTAGTGAAGAATTAAACCACGAAAGAGAAAATACAAAAAATAGACTGAAATATTAATCACTTGGTTCATTTTTACATTTGGTTCTAAAATAAAGCAGGTGTATCTTCAGCCATATGAGTTTTATTATTAACAGCTATTGTGGCATTAGTTTGGTATGGAATGCTTTAGTTAATAGGTTGCGGTTCATGTATTTTTAATTTTGTTTTTAGCCCTGGCACTTTACAATTAGTTATAATAATACATGAGTTAATCCTCTTCTGAATGAGAATGGAAATTCCCGCTGCTGTTGTTTATGTGACTTAATTGAGGCCTCTGTGTGAAACACTAAGTCGGTTTAAAATGTTCAAATTCACATTATGAAGAAGGTGAAAAGCTACTGAAGTGCCTCTATCTTACATGGCGGTCTTGATGAAAAATCAACTAAATAATCACGCTCTGCCATTGTATCCTGTTTTCTTATCTCCCTTCACCAAACTATTGAACATGATGAAATCAAGTTCTGTAAATAAACTAAATGTAGAAAACTTTTTACTGATTTAAAACTGTCAACTATTTTCACCTTTTCTTTCCAATTTCTAATATTTTAATTGTGATTCTTTTTTATTTAACTAAGTCTCATATCTACCTACTTACCTCCACATTTGGATACATTTTTTCTTATCGGCACCAAGAAGCCAAATGTGCGACCCAGAAAAGTCACAACACCTTATGCATCAAAAGGCCAATGGGATAGTAAAACAAAAAGCAGCGCTTCTATAATCCTTGACTCTTTAAATCTTTTGAATTTATGCACGTTTTAAACTTACTCTATTTGCCCAAAAGGCTTTCAAGAAGAATGAGGAGGCCAAAAGGAGGCTGGTGGAGGCGTATGAACTCATGTTGGGTTTCTACGGCATTCGTCTGGTCAACAAAGACACGGGGGAAGTGAAGCGCGCAGAAAATTGGAAGGAACGTTTTGGAAACCTGGAGAGGTAAACAAACAAAACACCAATTTCAGTAAATTCTCAGATCTTAATGGTTTTGTCAGTAATTCCAGCTTCATCTGCGTGGTGTGTTGCAGAAATATGCACAACAATCTCCGGATAACTCGCATCCTGAAAAGCCTCGGGGAGCTTGGCTTCAAGCACTACCAGGCTCCACTTGTGCGCTTCTTCCTGGAAGAGACTCTAGTCAAGAAGACGCTGAGTAACGTTAAGCGCAGCGTGTTGGACTATTTCCTGTTTGCCGTGCTGGAAAAGCAGGAACGCCAGGATCTCGTGCGCTTCGCCTACCTTCACTATGAGCCGAAGGACAAGTTTGTGTGGTGTCCCAGAAAGATCCAGAAACAATTCAGGAAGGGCACCAGAAACTCTGACGTCGGAAATGGAGACGGGAAAGAGGATGTCGTGCACAGTAAAAACGATGAGGATGCAATACAGCCGAAAGAAGATGGGATGAATAATGTCACTAAGACCCTGGAAGGAAGTGATAAAATTAAAGACAAGAGCAAACAGGCGGAGGAGTCTGATGAGCCACCAGCAGAAACAGAGGCTGTCGGGAACGGAAACGTGGAAACGGAGTCTATTATTGAAAATATGAGGAATGGAAATGAATTTCCAAATGATGATGATGATGACGATGACATTGATGAAATGGACCAGTCCCCGAGTCTAGATGGCGACACCATAAACAGTGAGCAGAAATCTACCAGCATTGCCAAGGACGTCCAAGATCTGGACGTTATGCAAACCGGTGCGGATGAAGAGCCCGAAAAACCTCCAAAAAAGAAAAGGGAAGGCGACGAGGATCCGCCTACCAACAACCCTGCAGCTGCTGCCGCCGGCCTGTTGCAGGAAAAGGCTCCTCATAAATCTACAGGTCAAACAAGCCCTTCAGTTCACACTCCTCTTAAGACCTCAAAACACTCACCCTCTCTGTCTTCTGAAAGGGAGGAAAAGATCCCTAGGACGGATTTTATTCAACCGTCGGATCAAAAAGAAAACAAGATGGAAAATCGTTCCGCTTCAAACAGAAGCAGCAAAGTCGTAGAAGGACAGAGCAACGGGACGGAGTCGGAGGACGTTCCCATGGATTCAACCCCCTCAAGCTCCAATCACAATGAGGGAGCCTCATGAATAAGTGGTGACAGAAGGAAACTCATATAAACTTAGATTTGATGTATTATAGGAACTGAATCTGACTGGACATTTTCTAGGCCTTATTTCTACTATATTTGATGTTAAGATATTATTCATTCTTTTCACTTTAAATGAATTATGGTATGCTACATTTGGGTTTCTTAAAACATTCAAGACAAAAACTAAAAAGACCAAAAGCAGCAATACATTAATCAGATGCCATAGTTTAAGATTGAATCACATGAAGTGATTAAAACAGGAAAAACGTTCTCTGATGCTGAGATTTGCAGCTGTAATGAAAAGAAGTGATTTAATCGTTTTATGTATATTTTTATCAGCTGAATAAGGCTGTGGTTTAAAATAGATTTTTTTCTTTGACAATGTAAACATCACACAGATAATTTAATTTAATACGGGTGCATCTCAACAAATTTGAACATCATGGAGGAGTTTAATTTATTTCAGTGATTCAGTTCAGAGTTAAAAACATACCCCCGTTTCATATATTTCAATTTTCTTATTTGGTTTTAATTTTGATGATTTGCATCTAATAAAAATCTAAAGTTCAGTTTCTGAAAAAATTTGAATAAAAAAAATGATTTCAAACATAGACAAGTAATCATACTAAAATGTAATGTATTCAGTTTTTTGTTTAAGGGTGAGAAATTTTGGATATTACATAAGACCAAATAAAGCATCTTATGTACAGAAATGTTATTTGATAGTCTACAAAACCACAGGGAAGACTGCTGACTTGATATTGTTACGTCGACACAGAAGGTCATGAGGCTATTCACATTGCTGTATCCAGGCATATTAATTGAAAGTTTAGTGGAAGAAAAAAAAAAGAGATTATATGAAGCAGATCAATGTTAACCCCAATAGCTTGTGCTGATGTTCCTGAAAACATCAGCACAAGCTGATTATCTTCACTAATGCAGTAATTCACATAAAAATATTCCTGACCAAGGATTGGAGCAATTATATGGGTAGAATTTATTAAATACTTTTTTTTCTTTTCTCTATACATGGTCTTATGGAATCCCCTATTTTTTAGCTGAGTTTTGCATTTTTATTATTTGCAAGCCACAATATTTAAAATGTGTATGGAATGAACCTAAAAAATGTTTTACTTTCAAGTTCAATTATTCAAATAAATTAACTTTGAAGTTTAAATTTATTTAGATGCACCTCTTTTATGCGTAGGGTGGAAATCAACTGCAGCATAAATGTAATATCTGCATACAGATTTAAATGCGGGTTTAAAAGGGTTTTTATTTCATTATAGCCACATTTTTTGCACTGAGATTTAATTGATTTCTATGAACTTTTTTCCGTCTTTGGGCTGTTTTTGTGTTTGTAAAACGATGTGTTTTTTTAAAATCCTGCTGTTCAAATGAAGTTAAAATCGTATTTCAGAAAATGATGCATACTGTATGCTGTCATGCTGATTTGGGAAGTTGTTTGCAGCTGAAAGCCTTGCCAAAAAAAAACAAAAAAACAAATGTGATGAGACTGGTTGATTGTACAATGTGTTTGTCTTGAATGAAATGATGCTTTGGCTGCAACTTAACTCTGTGTGTTCCTCTTTGAAATGGGTGCAGTCCATGAAAATGGAAGATCCAGTGTGATCAGGCATCCTTTTATATTTGCACTGATTTGTGCTATAACTTGTTGAAGTTACTGTATAATTCTACCTGAATAGACCTTTATAATAATTTCCCAGTTACACACCTGGCTGTTGCAAGAACTGAATAAAGTCATCCTATTTTCTGAAAATGATCTGTTTGAAGTTAAGATTTGTTGAAGTCCAAAGAACCTTTAATGTTTAATTTGCTGCTTTATTGTATATTTTGACTTATCTTGTTAAGATAAGTCTTAACATTTGGATACAGTCTCTCTTTGGTAAGAAGGTCTTGGAAGTTAATTACCTAAAATGACTGGAGTTTGATGGAAAAATCTAAAAATATCAGTTCTCTTGCTCAAGTTTAATACTGTTCTTCTTTGTCTTCAGTTTATAGAAGAAATTTGTGTTAAACTGCAGAAATCATGAGAATACTCTTAAGTTAGTGATGTGGTTATTGTGCTATGCCAACCTTACTGTAAATTCCCATCTATATTACTGAATTTTGTTTGCAATATAATCTTTTTTTCTCAGATATGATATGAACATCTGAAGAGAGTTGTGCTTGTGAATCACAACCAGGTATAAAGTTTAGCTAAAGGAAGAAACAAGAGTGAGAGGGGCAATAGTATTAAGGACAGGTCAATGAACTGTCACAGGACTAACAACGCACATTTACTGTTAAGTAAGGACAGTTTGGAGACAAAATTAACCAAACAATCATGATCTTGGCCTGACGGAGGAAGCTGGAGTACCCAGAGAGAACCCAGTCATGAACATGCAGAATCCATTCGTACAGACTCCAGCCAACTGCATCCCTCCTACGGCTCAAAACATGTTAATGGTTTTTCACTCAAACCAGTTTATTTTTTTTTCAATACCTTCAGGATCTTTTACAAAATTAAAGTCTTACTTGCGCAGCTCTTCAAAGACATTCTTTGCCATCAGGAAGTCAGGACAGTCAAAACCTAAGAGAAAATTATAGGATTTATTCAGAGATTTAAGAGTTTTTAAATGTGAACAGTCTTAATCTTGATCAGGTCAGGAACAACCTGACCTGAACTTTTTGCCTAATCCCTTTCCATTTTGATGTTCACCAACTTAAGCATGCATACTCTACTTTTTTACTCGAATTCTAAATGGCAACATGTTCTATTGTGGGTATCAGATTATTGTTTGTAAATAACTAAAAAAAAATCATTTCCCTTCATGTCATGAATTACGTCTTGTTGACTCAGAAATCCAAACAAAGTAGCTTGAAGTTTGTGGTTGAAAGCTGACAAAATGAAATTTCCTTATTCCGCTTGTTTTTTGGCCACTTTCTCATTGGTCAGTTGATGTTTTGAACATTTTTAGCTCAGCCCAGTTTCTTGGGAGTCCAAGCTGGGCGCCCCCCTCCTCTGCTTCCCTCACCGCTGTGTGCAGACAGCCGGAGCTGGAGGCTCGGGTTTATCTGGGAGCAAAGAGAAAGCCATTCAGGAGCTGCACGCCGTCAGGTGAAGGAAGGCTCCGCCGCTGGGGGGAAGGAGAAGAGTTTGGAGGATTTGACCTCTTTTCCATTAAACTCTGGCTTGTGAGGACGAGCGCGGACGATGACGGCGTTCTCAGCTCTTTGGATGCTCTTCCTGTGCCAGCTGCTGTCGTCCTCCTTCGCCCAGGTAAGGCTCGTCAAGCAGCTGCTGCACACACCTGCTCCGTATCTTAGCGTTCCTTATGTTGTGAGGATGATTACTCAAAGGCCTTATGTTTACATTTCTGCTTTCTTGTAACGATTATGTGTTTACCTGCACTTTCTGCATTCAAGTAAATTCAAATTCAGGAAAGTCTCAATGAAAGTACGGAGTTGCTATTCAGTTCGGTGTTCTGTGTATGAGCACTTTGCAGTTTGAAACCATGTACCTGTGCATTCAATGAGTAAATATGAACTGGTTGCTCAGTAGCTGCTGCAGTTGGAGGTAAATGTTTCCCCTGAACCTGTGGAATGTGCAGACTGGAGATCAGAGCACACAATGCAGGCTCTGTTCATTCAGCAGCTCAGTTCTGCAAAGTCTTCAAAGAGGTCCATTAGTTCAATAGTCTGAGCAAAAGAAACATAAAAACATTACATTTACTGTGTACCTTGTATTTAATTTGTATTTTTTTGTATTCTTTTGCGTATGCTTACTGTGTGCCACTTTTTTGCCTGTGAGCTGCTGGTAACTTTAATTTCCTGAGTGAATCTTCCCAATGCATCAATAAAGTACAAGTCTAAGTCTAAGTCTGATATTTTAATGTAAAATACTATTAACACAGGAGGTCTAAAGCATGACCTATTTGTATTCTTTGAATCATTTTCTCTTTGTTTTGTTGCTTTGTATTGGGATTCATTTGATTCTATATTCCTGGATTTGAATCAAACCTGTCTTGTTGAGAGCTTTGAAACGATAACATTTGCCTATCATATCTAGACTTTATTTTATTTTTTGTGGTTCAAACTTCCAGCTTTATTGTATTTTATCTTGCAGAGGGTTGGCCCCAGAGGAACCCCAGGGCCTCAAGGACCACCAGGACAACCAGGAAGGGATGGCACTGATGTGAGTTGGCCAGATACTAGTTTGTGCTCTTGGAGTTTGTCTGGAGCCTGGACTGTAAACCAGTACTGATCAGAGTAACCGGCTCTCATTTAATTCTCATTAAACTATTGGAAACACAGGAACAAACTTCTGCGTCAGAAAGACTCTGCAGTTCTTACATTATTTGTGATTCAGTGGCACAAGCGAAGGTATATTTGCTGTTCTCTCTCTGCCTCAAACTGGCTAACCACTCTCACACTTGTAATTTTTTTTAAATAAACCTCAATGACCAATGTTTAGTTGTTTATTTTGTATGTTGCATAATTTTAGATTCCAGTTGCTTTTCTTTATTTTACTTGTGCATAAATGGAGTAAAATGTCTACAAACTGAAACATTTCATCAGTCTGACTCCTCCCACTACTCCGCCTGTGTTTATTAAACAATTACCTGTTGGATTTAGGTAGGCAGGGCTTAAAGGTGTGACTCAAAAGTCTGGGTTTATTATTCTTGCTTAAGAACTGTGAACCTTGGTTAAATAATGTCATTTTATTGCATAATGTTAGTGAAATACACTAAAATACTCATCCTTGATCTATGTTATTCCTTGTATTTATATGTGATTTTGCTTCCATTGTGTTTTCGACTATGAATATTCAGTTCTGTTTAACACAGAAGAATCGTTTGCTTTTTAAATGCCACCGATACCATTTCAATCCCGTTTTAGCTCTGAATATTTTTGCGTCTCCAGTAAACTTTGGGCACACAGAGGACCCATTCATACATTCCCCAGCCCTGTGAGAGCATCTAGGGTTTCAGCTCGCACCTCCTCCCTGTACCGTCTTCAAACCGCTCTAAGGGTCTGAACATGTGACCACTCCGCATCGCTTCTGCTTGGAGCCGTTTGTTCTCCGCTGGTAGAGAAGTTAAACACAAACAGTGCAGCAGTTGATGCTCCTAGCTCGGGCTATGGATGGTTAAGACGCAGCCAAACGCTGGAAAGCTGCACACCTGGGAGGAAGTTATTTATTTAACACTGAAAACGCTGTTAAAGAAATCTCACTTACCTTTTTTTTCTGGTTGTCAGGGGAAACCAGGACCTCCTGGGTTGCCAGGAAAAGCTGTAAGTAATCATTACGACAAACTGGAAGGACACAAAAGGTTTCATTTAGAGATGGAATATTTTCATGTCTCTTTGCAATAAGTTAAAATCATTTTTCAAAACTATTTAAAGGCTGTTTCTTTTTTCAGATTTTCCTCAAATCTGAGCATTTTTACAGTTTGAATCCTATTAAAGGAGCCATGATGTAAACATGAAAAAAAGTTACTGATTTGAAGGGTGTGTAGAGATTCGTCTAAATACAAAGAAAAGTTGCCATTTCTCCAGGAGATCATATGAAGGAGGGCCAATAATATTATTTACTATTACAGGGAGTAGTAATAGTAAAGACTTTGCTGTGATTTATTGCGATAACAACAAACTCAAAGGTGAGGTGTCAAAAAACTACCTAATACATTTTGTTCAATTTATTAATCTCACTTTTCCACAACATTAAAAAAATCTGAAACCAATAATTATGATGTAGGTACGTGAGAATAATCCAAAGTACTATCAGTGAAGATATACACCATTTACCTGTCCTCCAAGCACCAGAGGCTTATTAAATAGGAAATAACATATGAACAATGAAGCTTGTGTAGAAACAAGAAACCCCACTTGGACATGAAATGGTGCATTTTTGATTAAAGCATCTTTGTTTTGTCATTGAGTGAAGTTACTGGAGGCGAAGGACCAGCTTGAAACAGTACCTGAGTTGCAACACTTAAAAATATTATTAGACAAGTAGAAGTTAAAAGTACAGTGTAGTACAACTACTCTGACAAACTGATAGCATTTGTAAAACTCTAAAAAACTGACTGAAAAAATAAAAATCTCCACCACAGATGGTCAAAGCATTTGCAAATATCATCCATTGTCTAAATCTGCTTGTTGTTGAAGGTCACAAGCTGCTGGTTTGTCAGGTTCAAGTTATTGTCAATAGGACAGGCGGGTCCAACCTGGACAGGTCAAAGTTCATTGCAGGGCAGAAGATGCAAACTCCATGCAGAAAGACCAAAAACCTTCCTGCTGCAGGGCAAGAGTGCCGAGTCATCGCAATCCATCAATAACATATATGAAAATATGACTGGATGCAACAGCTGCCAGCTGCTTAATGATGTACTCAAGTTGCCTCTCTAATAGAGATACTTTTAATTATTGTGTTAAATACTTCAAAATATGATGAATTTTATCTCCATATTGTTCATCTCTAAATTATTCCTATGTTGCGGCAGTAAACTAAAACAAAGTGACAAAAAGCACTTTTTTTAAAAGTTCTGAGGATAATTCAGCTGCACACAAAAACACTTTTTTTCTACACAATCTGCACATTAATCTGCCTGGAAAAGACTTAATTAAATTGCTCTTGGATCGTTTGCAGGGCCCAAAAGGGAAAGAAGGCATTCCAGGAGGACCAGGAAAACCAGGTCTGCCAGGACTTCCAGGAATTGATGTAAGGGTCCAAAATCCTCTGGTCTTACAGAAATATCAACCTTGGAGGCTGTTGAAGTTATGTAAAAAGAGGAACAAGTAATGATGCTGCTATTCATCTCTAGGGCTTGACCGGTCCAGATGGTCCTGCTGGCAGAGACGGACCCCCAGGGGAAACAGTGAGTGCATCTTCTGAACCTCTCGCATGTTTTAGGATGTTGGTTTCCTGCGTCAACCAGCTGAAGTCAGCAACCATCAAGATCCATCAGGATCCTGCAGGTTGTTCTGGTTCTGTTAAACCCAGAGGCTTTAACAGGCACGAGGTCTCTGCTCTCTGTCACCATAAATTTGTCTAATTGGCTCAACTTCTTAGTTAGGAATATTTTTAATGAGGGATCAGGATGAGGTTAAATGTTCTGCTTCTCCCTAATCCAGCCTGGAATCTGACCCAGTTCTCGCAAAAAAAAAAAAGGAAAAAAAAGTAGAAGAACTACTTTTCTAAAGGAAACAACCCATAAACTCTGAATGGCCATTAAGACAACATCCTGTAATTTAACAAGACTTGTAGTTTTCACAATTCATCAGATTTATGAAATATCAGAGAATCAGTGATTACTGCTCCCTCCCAGCTAATTAGCAGACGTAATGAGGAAGCCAGCTTTAACTCACGCCGCTAATTACACAGATAACCACACTGTGATGGCTGGCTCCGAGTGATTAAGGGTAACGCAAAGTTTAGATGCAACACAGATTTATGAGAACTAGATACAAAATAAATATTGGTGAACATTTGTTTTAAGTTTTCATCCATCAGTGAAGAACAGAAAGGCCTTCAAAATATGGCAAGTTATTGGAAATTAAGCGAGGTAATATGTTAATCTAATGATGCAGCTTTTACATTTCTACACCTAATTGTAGAGAAAATATTCAAATCAACAGCAGTGTGATGAGCAGCTGCTCCAGCAAGGGATGAGTTCATTTGACTATTTCTACTTTCAAGCAGAATCCCCCTTGTTTTTAACACTCTACAATGACAATCATAGTTTTTGTAAACCTTTTCATACATGTAAGTTGGCAGTGTAGACCTACAGCTAACAAGCTTGTATTTCAATAATTCCATCATTTTTCACCTAAAATTATTATTTTGTGACAACACTTATGTAGTCTGTGTACATTAGGTAAAGTGCTGTGAAAAAATATTTTCCTCCTTACATATTGTTCTTCTGTCTTTTTTTTTTTTTTTTTGGTCACACTGTAATATCTCAGATTATCAAGCACATGATATATGTGGTGAAAAAAAAAAGGATCTGGACCGACCTGGCCTGATGACAAAATGATTCCTTTCCCCTGGATTAAACTAAAAACTCTTTTAGTCACAGCTCAGTCTCACAAGCCACACAAAGTCAAAATTTTTGCCACCTAAACAGAAACAGACTGACACGAAGTAGGCCAGACATCTCAAAGAGCAAATGATCATGTCTCAATCTACACAAATTCAAGAGCAGATGGGAAACAAAGTCATTGACATGTTTGAGTCTGGAAAGGATTATAAAGTCATTTCTAAGGTTTTATGTTTTAAAGTGAACCACTATGAGAACCATTATCCAAAATGGAGAACAATGGGACAGATGTGACACGTCCTCGGAGTGAGCGACCAAAAGAGAGCTTCAACAGCTCATCCAGGGAGTCATACAAACCCCAGATCGACTTCTAAAGCACCGTGAGCCTCATTTGCTTCAGTTAAAGTCAATGTTCATAATTCAACTATTAGAAAACAAAGCATTTCAGAAAAAGAACATCCGACCTACAGTTGTAGCGCGTTGGATTGCTTTGCAGCTTCAGGATCTGGAGGACATTGAGGTCTGCTTCCTATCAGACATCAGGACACCCTGCAGGGGAAAATCCAGCCATCAGTTTGTGACCTTAAGTTCAAATTCTCTCAGATTATTCAGCACGACAGTTTCCCAGATCACACCAGTATGTCTACTGCCGACTGGCTAAAAATGCATCATGTATTTAGAGGATGTCTTGTCTTGAAGGAAAAAAACATCCAAAAATCAACATTGAAATATATACACACACAAAAAAATAGGAAATTCACTGATAAAAACCCTAAAATCCATTGGAGGAACATAAAAAAAAAAAAAACAAGCGCAAATCCTAATATGAACATTGGTTGTTTTTTTTTTTTGGAACTGAAAAAAATTGACTCAACCAAACGTAACTGGATTCAGGTCCAACAGCCTCCTGAAAGGCTTCATTCCTTTAGTTATCAGTGTCATGCAGAAAATCACTAACAATTTTAGATTTTAAGAACAATGAGAAAAAAATACTACATTTTTACTCAGAATATTTGACAGATTAGCTGCACCATACCATTCACTGCTTCATATGAGCACTAACGCTGCTAATTTTTGCAGTTTTTACTGTAAGTCTTTACTGTAAACCATCTAGTGTGAAATACAATCAGTGATTTTTCTCTTGTTGACTGCAGGGTGAAGCTGGACCTCCGGGGCCACCTGGACCTCCTGTAAGCAATCACACACACTTTACACCTACAGCAGATGTTTCTCTTTGAGTAATCCTGCATGAAGCTGCTGCAGGGAAACACTGGATATGTTCATGCTGTGAAAATCATCTCTAAACACACCACCAGATGAAGAGGACACATGATGCTGTTTTCCCTTCAGTATCTGAAGCTGACATCCAATTTATAAACAAAAAACCCCACTGAAATTCAAAACACTTTAGCTGCAGGGTAAAAACCGTATAACGGATGTTGTTTTTGTCAGTAAAATACCGGCTCTTGGTGAGACTTATTTTGTCTTCTTGTGTCTTCCGTAGGGCAGGGGGAGACCAGGAGCCCCAGTGAGTGAACATTTCCTTTCATACTATTTCATTCCGTTTTCTGATTGCACCCTGGGAGCTTGTGTTTGTTGCTCTCTGACGCCTTCAACACAAACACTTTTGTCTGTAGGGATTACCTGGGACCAACGGGTTGCCGGGCGGAGCCGGACCCCAGGGAGCAGCAGTGAGTCCGTCTCATACATATAGTTATACGTATAGTTAAGGATATTTCAGAAGGTCATAATTAAGCTTCATTCTCTGTGGAAGGATTTCTATTAAACAAGAGGCTATTTTCAGTGTAAAGGTGAAGGAAAGTGATCATTACAGCGCTTTACAAATGTATAAATCTGACCTTTTCACATTGTCAATACCTTATAATTCAGTTTTATCTAGTAGACCAACAGAAATTAATGCACAAATGTGAAAGGAATGGAAGAGGGTAAATTGCTTACAGTTTGTTTTGTAAATAGAAATCTGAGGTGTGATATGCATGTATATTCAACCCCTGATGCCTCTAAGCAGGAATCAGATAACAGAGTCCACATCTCTATAAAGACATCTGTTCTGCAAAAGTCTTAAAGGTTTGTTAGGGAACATCAGTCAATAGTCAGCTTCATCAAGGCAAAGAAGCACATCAAGTTGTGGAGAAGTTTAAAACAGGGTTGGGTCATCCCAAGCTTCAAACATATCAATGTTCTTAAAAATCAAACTATGGCACAACGACAAGCCAACTAAAACATGTCTGTCCACCTAAGCTGATAGCAAGAGCCAGAAGAGCATCATTGTGTTTTTGTGTTTATGATGTAAAGCAGTTTGAAATGCCCTGCTGCTGAAATGCGCTATACAAATAAAATTTGATTTGATTTGATTTGGATCAACCCAAATTCTAATTTCGGTGCATCATTAAAAATTGGTTGTAGGATTACCTCCAAGAAGGAGAGTGATCCTGAATATTCATCTGCAGCTGCAATGGAGTGGTTTGAATACTTTTGCAAGGCTCTGTAAATCGGCTTTACTGTGTCAAACTACTGAACGTTACTGTGAGATTTATTATAGAGGTGGACCTTAAGCTTTTCACCAAAGTGAGATTAAATCAGATTGAATGGAAGATAAAGAGTCAGGACTTCTATGTTTTAATCAGAGCTGCTGAAAACGTGCTTTTATAATCTGTTAGGGTCCAGAGGGTCTTCCAGGACTTCCAGGACCTCCTGGCCCTGATGGACCCCCAGTAAGTGCAGTTATTATCATATTATATCTGCTGCTGCTTCCAGCTGGTGGCTAAATGGAAACCGAACAATACAGTGATGCAGGAAATGAAATAGATGTGATCTGTGCATGTTTTTCCTCCATCAGGGGCTTCCTGGCTCTCTTCAAGATCTTAACGGTGACCTTCTGGTAAGATGTCTGCACTGCACACCGCAAATTCTGTAATCTGAATATGTGTTTTTCAAACTGAGAATGCATCATGTCTCTGTCGTCTTCAGTGTCCTGCTATCTGTCCTCCTGGTCCCCCAGGCCCACCCGGGATGCCAGGATTTAAGGTAAAGGGTTCATTTAATCATTCTTTTCAAATAGACAATAAAAAGAAAAAACAGGAACAAGACAAATAGTAATGCCAATAGACATGCAATTTGACTTTTTTTTTCAAAAAGGAGCAGGGAGAAGATGAAAGATGCTATTATTTTCTGCCCCTCTCATTCATAAACATACTACACCAGCGAAACCTTTAAAGTATTTCTACATTAAACCTCACATTCCCATCATTGACTGTACAATTAATGCACATTATTAACATCAATAACAGCAATTTTGACCTTTGAGATGCCCATCCTATACAACATATGCTCCAATCAGTTCATTTTTGCAGTTTTCTAAGTTGGTTTATATTTGTATTTTTATGTTTGAGCCCATAATTTAGTCCATTCCATAGAGTTACTTCACATACTGATGTACGAAAGCTCTTGTTGAACATTTTAAGACTTCCATTTGTGTTTCTACTGCTTCTAAAAGCAGCCAAGATGCTTGAAAACAACCTACCAAGACAGTTTGGTGTCTGGAAAATGACTCATTTCAAAAATAGCCGAATGTAACGTCATAAATCAGCAGATACTCACCTAGCCTGAAGCCAATGTGAAGCCCAGTACATTACCTAGCAACCCAAGCAGAACTTCAAAATGTTTGGTCAGCTGGTTTCACTGCTGTATAATGGCTACTGGAAAAGCAAGTGTTTTGTTGTTGACTTAGCATTCAGAAACCACTTGCTGCTTTCTTGTTTTTTGTGGAGGAGGCTCCGCTTCTGCTTTTCAAAGACGCACAGTTGTATATTTGCACATCTGTTTGCAGCCATGTGCCAGTGTAAATGCTGATTTGGGGGGCGTGGTCAGCTGCAGATTCTTTGGATTTAAAGTGACAAGAGGCCCTAAAACAGCTCATTCTGAAAGGAGCTACAAATAGGCAGATCTAAGCAAAATAGAATGTTATTGTCCAAGAATAATTTTGCGCAAAAAAGTAGAAAGAACATTCTTTGTTTCGATCCACCCAACCTGTACAAGGAAGCATAATAAGGACCTTTAAATTATAACTGCTCTCTTTGTGTCAGCACATTTTTTTTTTATATTGTGTGGAAGTCGATGGTTTCTTTTTTTGAACATAAATTGTACAGTTTTGAATTGTACAAGGTCGTATAATTTCAGTATATTTAAAAAATAATGAAATTATTAATCTCCCACTTTATGTAGGACTCTGATTGCTTTTGTTTTGTATTGTGTACAGCAGCTGTAAGTTTGCTTTGTATGAATTGCTCCAACAATTTATTTCTAGCTGTTTGCATTTAAACACAGGGACACACTGGACACAAAGGAGACAAAGGAGAGCCCGGAAAAAATGGAGAGAAGGTGAACTGAACATGTGAGACAAGTAAATCAGCTGTTATTTATGAGACTTACCCGATGGTGGTTTTAAGTGTTCGCTGTCGTCTCCAGGGGGATTCTGGTCCACCGGGACAGTCAGGTGTTCCAGGAACTGTTGGTCTGCAGGTGAGAATCTGTCTCATTACTGAAAATTATACCAAATTCTATCAACTGTTTAAACCTCAATGCCTGTTTTCATGATTCATTCCTGGTGTGTTTCAGGGCCCTCGTGGTCTAAGGGGTCTGCCAGGCTCAATGGGATCTGCAGGGGACAGAGTAAGAATCTTTAAAGCAGGATCCCTCCTTCCTGCCTCATTTTCACTTTCAGCCCTTCTGCAAGAATCAGACAGGTCTGGAGGCTTTGTTTGACTTCAACTTCCTCTGTTTGTCTCCAGGGCTTCCCGGGTTTCAGAGGCAAACCTGGCATGGCTGGAATCATTGGAAAGACAGTGAGTCACTCCTAGTTTGTTTCTTTTCTTTTTTTAAAATCACAGTGACTGTGTTTGTTGGTAGTTCACAGTGAGATTGGATGGCTGGTCAAAGCATAGCTGGGTGTGTTTTATCTGATGTCTGCAGGGCGATGTTGGGGAAAAAGGACCGCAGGGGTTTAAGGGACCTAAAGGAGAGATTGTAAGTCAACATACAAGAACTTTTAATTTTTCATCTATATGACACACAGTCATTGTGTTGATGCTGTACAGCACTAAACTATTAGTTAGATCATGTTCTTTTTTGTCCTTAGAGTACTTCTGCAATCTTTCAACCATTCACATATGAAAACATTCAGCTCTTTTTTTTAACCATGTAATTTCTACCATAACAGTTTTTATTCCTAATATTAAATATTACAAAGTTTAAAACACTTTTAAACACATTTATTGAGCTTTAAACCTACAACATTTTATTAAAGCGCCATTTTAAAAGTAGAAATGTTCTAATAATACATCTGAATATGTACTGATCAGATTAGACTGTGTCATGTGCTATTATTCTTCAATGTATACATTCACTACTAATATATTTTTAATCATTTGCTCTCTTCAACCTTTTCTGCTTCCGCTCAGAAATGAGCAGATCAACATTTAAATAAGAGACATATTCCTTCTAGTTAATAATGTCCATGTTATGTATTATTTATCAGGGCAAAATTGGTCCCAAAGGAGCACTGGGTGGAGCAGGACCCAAAGGGGAGCCTGTAAGTTCACATTAGAAGAAATTGAATGTGTGATGCACATTTAGATATCTGAGGGTCATATCCAATGATTTCTACAGGGTATACCTGGACGAGATGGGAAAGATGGAACGCCGGGGTTGGATGGCGAGAAGGTGAGCCGGACCTCCTCAGCCGGGAATATTTTTCTGCATAAGCCAAGATCGAGAGATAAGAAGGTTTTTCTTTCTGCTCACAGGGTGATCCTGGACGCCATGGAGTAGTTGGAGAGAAAGGACCAAATGGACTTCCTGTAAGTACATAATCAATTCATTATTCTTTGATTTATCACTTCATTCTCCATGCAGCACCAGAGTTTGGAAATTATGTCGACTAAAATGTGCTGATATACAGCAGGACTCAATTTTTGGCTCACTTGAAATAATATTTTCTAAAAAAAACTATATATATACGTGTGTGTGTGTATATATATGTATATATACATATGAAACTAAATATAAATATTTACGAAAATGTGGCAAGGAGAAGTTGTAAGTTGCATTCAATGATGTCTTTAAGAATCCTTGTTAAATGCAACTTGTAACTTCTATTTTCTTCTTATTTCTGAGAACCAGAGTTCTTGACAGATTAGAAACTGCTGTAATTTTTAACATCCTCTCTTTTCTTTTCAAGGGTTTGCCTGGAAAGGCTGGAGCTAAGGGGTCAAAAGGACAAATCGTGAGTATTTTCACAAGAGAACTGTCAGAACCTCAAGTCCAGAAGTTTGAAGATGGGATGTTTATCCTCGCTTCTTTTCGTCCCAGGGTGATCCAGGGAAGAATGGGGAGCAAGGACCCTCTGGAGAGCCAGGTATTCCTGTATGTATCTGATGGGATTGTTTGGGAGGGTCATCAACCGCTCCACAGAGTCACATGACCTCTAGATGCGTACTGTCAGGGATCTTCTAAATTGTCCACAACCTGCTCTCTGCAGGGTGAAATTGGCATTCCAGGAATCAGAGGGATACCAGGTCCCAGAGGAGTGGCTGTAAGTTAAATAGACTCACTATAAACTGCTGACCAGTCATATAGTAGCATGATAAATTAAGACAACAAGACAACCATGAGACTAAACTGTTAAATATTGTCCAACATGCTTTACTCCAGTTTGCATGTCTGAGTGCTGGATAAGTGCAGATAATGGAAATAATATGAAGCACCAGTGTTCAAATATCACATTAACAATAAACAGTTGGCTTCTGCAGGTACTCACATGCTGCAAAAGCAATTTTAAAAAATTACAAATGTACCCAAGTACATTTGTAGAGTTAATTAGAAATGGAGGAATACATGCAAGGACCAGAAAAGAAAATCACAACTTCGTAAGACTTACACAGAAAAGCTTTAGTCTCAAGTTAGTCTCAAGTTAGTCTTCAAGAAACGACAAAAAAAAAAAAAAAAAAAAAAAAAACATATAACACGCTGTGCTGCATAACAAATATTTCACAGCGACTGCATCTGTTTGCTTAATTCCTGTTCTCTGAATTGAAATAGCCTCATAAATAGTCTAGAAGATTCACATGATTATGTCTCTTCCTAACAGGGAGGTATTGGACCAGTAGGCAATTCTGGGCCTCTGGGAGTGAAAGGCTTTCAGGTCAGCAACATAAAATCACGAATTATCAATTTTATTTAAAGTTACTAATATGTTGTGGTGAAGTTACTGGTTCTGTGTGTGTGTGTGTGTGTGTGTGTGTGTGTGTGTGTGTGTGTGTGTGTGTGTGTGTGTGTGTGTGTGTGTGTGTGTGTGTGTGTGTGTGTGTGTGTGTGTGTGTGTGTGTGTGTGTGTGAAATTTGCTGCAGGGAGTCAAAGGAGCCTTGGGCGACCCAGGCCTTCCAGGGCCAACAGGACTCCGTGGGGACTTTGGTGACAGAGTGAGTTCCTGCAGTAAAATGGGTCCAACTAAGTCTTGAATATGCATAGTTTTCTTATAACAAATGACATTATTTAAATGAAAATAAGTTAAACAAGCCTTACATGATATTTCTAGTGGTTCTGTTTGGTTGTAGTTAACAATCAAAATGTTTGAAGACATTTGAAAGTTTGGAAACAAGGCCCCAAACAAACACTACATGTGATCATTTGAGGTAGTAACCAGGTCGTTCATCCTGATCAGTTAAAAGTCAGGCTGCAGCCAGGAGAACGTAGAGACACAGGAGGCCTCCTGTTCAGAACCTGAAGACAGAACAAAGACGCCCTTTATGTCCGTCCAGGTTTCCCTCAACCAGCCCACCTTGCTCCCCTCCTGCTCTCACAGCAACAAATTCTCTGCATGTCTCTTATATATTGACTCCGTTTCTGTTTCCCACCTCTTTAGGGTCCAGTTGGAGCTTCTGGAGCAAAGGGAGACATAGTAGGTCACCCAAAACCTTCTGTGATAGTCATGTTACAATGTTTCTCTTCAGTGTTTTCTCTCCAGCTCTCAACAAACAACAGAACATGTTACTGTTCTTCCATGTTAATGAACATATGATGCTTTAAACATAATTTAACCAGCCAATTCTCCTTCTTTAGGGTGTGGCTGGAAGTGATGGTTTACCAGGAGAGAATGGAGAACCTGTGAGTAGTTTGTCCTAATCTAAGTAGTGAAATTAACTATTTTTTTTTACTATCAATCAGCTGCATGTTACAGCAAAACTCTGCTAAAACTAAAATAAAACTCTTATCAATACATTTTTATCTGATGCATAAATCATAGCTTTCCATTGAACTTTGAGCATTTACACAATTAAAGATTACAATGAAATACATTATTTTTCAAGTTTTTACATTTACTTTTTAGAAAAATAAATATTAAATAAAATTTAAAAGCTAATGAAAAACTGCACACTATTCAATCAAACTTAGACAAATATGGGAGGCATTTTTCTACAGGATTTAAACTGATTAAAACCTTGAAGCTTCTCTAGTATCCGTTTGATTTTCAAATACTGGAGAATAAAAAAAAAAAATTCTAATTTTATGACCTTGCAGTAATATTGAAGGAAAAAAAGAAGTGTGGGAGAAGAAGCTAATAGGTGAAATCACAGGCTTCCAGTGAGGTATTCTGCATTCACTTCAGCCTCAGGACAGAGGAGAGTTAGTTGGTTTCCACTTCTGTGCATCAGCATTAGTTACTTTCAGGATAAACTGAACCTGGATTGATGTGTGACTCTCTCCTTGACCGTCCTCTGGTTGGCCCACGATTATCACTTTCAAAAAGACAAAAACACTGATGTTCAATGGGGCAAAGTCCTCTCTGCATGTCATTTAGAAATCAACATCACAGCCTGAGGAAAGAGCAGAGAGGAAAATGATTCAAGTCCAGTTGTGTCAAGTCCAGTATGAAGCTTTCCCATTCAGTGACGATTTGGGGAACCATGTCTTCTGCTGGTGTTGGTCCATTCTGTTTAATCACGTGCAAGGTCAGCAGTCTGCTTGGACATTTCAGAGCACTTACTGCTACTGACAAGATTTATGGAGATGCTGATTTCATTTTCCAGCAGGCTGAGAACCAGCCCACACTGCCAAATGTACCAATGGTCATGGTACTTTTAGTGAGTGCTTTGGAGTATTGTCAACCTGGACTTCCTTAAATCGTCTGCAGTGAAACAGGCTGATCACATTCTCAATGCAGGAATTCAAGCAAAAGGAGCCGCAATCAATTATTTTGTCTGGAAAAGCCTTTCAGTTGGATGGCATTTCTGAATTTAAATCCTTATTTTAATTTTCCTTTTATGTAATATTTTAGATATCTGAGAAACTGAATCCTAGGTTTTCATCACCTGTAACGCAATGATCACCAAAACCCAAAACTGACTGAAATCTCTGAAAAGATATAAATAAATAAGTGAAATAAATTAACCTTTTGGTAATATACTGAAATGCATCTGCCTTGTTCGTGTGACTCTGATCTGAAACTAAATGCTTGGACAACTAAGGTGTTTATCTATTTTCAGGGTCCGTTTGGGCCAGTTGGACAGAAAGGAGAGGTAAGATAATTGATCAGTTTCCCCTGTCCTACATTTACAGAATCTCACCCTTCAAAGCGTCTCTCCAAATACAGTTTGTGTCTGCCAAACATACATCAGATGCTGTGTGGGTGTAATTAGCAGTGCAAGTTTGCTCCAAACTCCCTCTGCGTTTGTTTCTTCTCCAAACATTAAAAATGGCGCCTCACTCTGAGCAGTTTTTGCTCGCTTGTCAAAGTCACGGCACATGACGGCACGCTCCCGGTTTAATGGGATTATTTTGATATAGGCACTGCAGCTTTAGCTTTATTGGCCTGTTTGCTGCTATCGCCAAGAGGGAAAGACAAGTCACACTAAGCTGCAGCACAATTTGTGTAATTAGCGACACAGCGCTGATGAGCTTCACTCCCTTAGTCTCACTTACTGTTTGCTGTGCTCTTTGGAGTAATTATCAGGCAAGAAGAGTCCATATGAACCCACCCCCGCATTCTCTCAACAGGCCCAGTTTGTTTTCTTGGTGGTGTTTAGTCAGCGATTAAATCTCAGGGAGGTTTTTAGGAGTTTGGATAAAAGATTACTTGCTTCTGCAAAACATACTGAGCAATTAAACTGATAAATCCTGCTAACTGCAGTCAGGAAAGAGAGGTGAACTGGGGCCCAAAGGTGTGACAGGTCCACAAGGCGAGATCGGGGCCAGAGGGCCTCCAGGAAAACCAGGACTGATGGGCTTCCAAGGGGAACAGGGTGTGCCAGGAATCGCAGGAAAGACCGGTGTACCTGTGAGTAGGATTGTTTCAACAAACGGCTCTAATTTTATCGTCTGACTTTAGGTTGTTTCATAAATGGCTTCTTGTGTTTCAGGGTAAACTAGCAAGTGAGCAGCACATCAGAGAGCTGTGTGGTTCCATGATCGATGGTGAGAAATCTTAAAACTGTTCTCCTATCATGATCCACACATTTACCAGAACTTACCTTATGGTGTCCTCGGTCATCCAGACCAGATTGCACAGCTGGCGGCCAACCTGCGGAGGCCCCTTGCCCCAGGAACAGTGGGCCGACCCGGCCCCGCGGGTCCTCCAGGAAAGCAAGGGGTTGCTGGTTCGGTCGGGCATCCAGGGACCCGTGGACCGCCAGGATACAGAGGCCTGCCAGGAGAACTTGGAGATCCAGGACCCAGAGGTATGAGACATTATACAGTTTCTAACAAAGTGCACAAAACGAATCCTCACCTGGACTCCTCTAAACATGCCTCATCAATGTCGCCAAATAAATCAATCATTGTCTTGTCTGAACGTATTTTTTTTCTCCAGAAGCATTTTGTGTCATCCATTATCGGCATCTAATAAAGTTAAACTGTCTTGACCGTTTATGATGGGCTTGAATGTTTACGATTCCTGGACTGTTATTGAACATAAAGTGACAGCATGTTGGCAGCATCATCCTGCAGATCGTTTTGCTGCCAGTGGCACTGCTACAGTGGACAAATTGAGTGAAAACTACCTCCAGATATTTCAATTTCCCTTGTAACTGTCCAGATGGAACATCATTATGCCTCAGAACTGCTTTGAAATGGATGAAACAGGATTTTATAAAGGCCCTGACATCAACACATTAAAAGCAATCATATTTTTTGGAAAATCAAAGTTGAAATTGTCTGTATCACTAATTCAAAAAGAACAGTTCAAAGGCTGTTTTTACTTAACCTGGTAAATATGTTTTCCTCCGTACGGAAGTTCTGGACTAAACAAATGTCACTTGTTACATGGACTCTGTTGATTCATAACGTTTGCCTGTGACTTGTATAATGTACGAGTTCGACGCTATGAAGCTTAGCAGAAAGTAGCTATCTTGTAAATAATCACCCTCAAGAGAGAAGTGCCGAGCCAAACAAGATGGCTGTTAATGTTTAGAAAGCGTGGTCAATGTGGACTGAACCTCTTCATTTACTTTCACTGTTGCCATTGCTAAAACTACAGGCAAACTACAATTCTAAAGCAGAGCAAAAACTCAACAGAATTGTTCACAATTTCTCTCTCTGTTTACTGGGTTAAAATCCAAATGAATGGGAGAAAGCCCATTGAAGAGAGATTAGAATTGAGAGGAATTACTTAGGAAGGCAATATACGTATAGGTACAAAACTGGAATTACATGCAGCATAAGTGAATACAATTTTCTTTTTCTTTAGAAGTCACAAAGCTGGAAATGTTTTGTTTTTATGAACAGGTGATGTTGGTGAGGCAGGTGATAAGGGACCTGTGGGCAAAACCATTGATGGGCCTCCTGGAGACCAAGGACACCAAGGTATAAGGCAGATATATTAAATCACCATATGGCTAACTGCCTCGAACACTTACCTGACCTCAGAAACCTTTTCTCGCCCTTATTAGGTCTTCCTGGAGTACGTGGGATTGTCAAAGATGGCCGTGATGGGTCTCCTGGAGATCCGGGTGAGCCTGGAGAGTCTGGCAGGGCAGGTAGGACTGGGCATCAGGGTCCCCCAGGGATCTGTGATACAACAGCCTGCCAGGGAACGTCACCAGCTGGGAAATCCTCAAACCCCAAAAACAATTAAACACGACTTCCTGCAGCCTGACCGCTCCGCTTTTAGGAGGGAAGGTTAACATGAGGAGGAGAGGAATGACAAGAGAACGTTCACAACAAGTCCACTTTATTTAAATACATGTATCACAAGGGAGGAATAACATCTACAAATGTGAATGGAGGAACATTCCAAGAGTGACAGGAACACCAAAGCAACTGAGAGACCCAAAAGATTACAGGTAATATCTTGAAATAAAGCAGATCAGGCAAGGAAAAGAAAACAAGAGAACAACTGTAGTGACTCAAAAGTGTCACATAACAACTGGCATAAGTTTGTAAATGTTTCGATGCTCCATTTGTTTTGATTATCAACGCGACAACTGTGACCGTCTCTGATGTGAACGCCCATTTGACACGGCTTATTGTGTGAATCACAGGTGTTACCTCAATATACAAACTGACAGTATAAAATGTGGACAAAGGTGCTGGACCTGTATATGTACTGTAAAAGTAATAAAATAACAATTACCCAGGTGCCCAGAAATTGTGTAGAATGCAAAAAAAAAAAAAAAAAACTTAACTGTTTTTGTTTTTTTGGGGGGGTTTACAGCTTGTTTTTTTACATAACTTGTAAAGTGAAGGTGATTCACTAAAGGTAAGAGAATAAAGAAGATCAAACTTGTGGATGCATAAGTCAGACCTGTATAATTCATAAAGAAATTTGAAAATGTTTATTTTTATTTTTTTGTTTTTCAATCAGCAAAGACATCCACTGTGTACCGCCGGTGCTGTAACTATTAAATATACATTACTTTAAATACTATTTATTATTGTGGGGACTGTTGTATGTACAGCTACAGCGACATGTTGTAAGAACAAATAAAGCCACTTTTCAGTAAAACAATACTCTTCTCTACATATCAAATGAGCCCAACACTTCATTATAACTCCATTAATTCACTATTGTCCCAAGGTTATATATAAAAATGCATAAATATGAATACAAAAGACAATATATGGAGTATTGTAAGTTTAAGAACATCAGCTGTAAAAGTAACACAAGCAAACATTTAAATAAAATTTAAAAATGACACATTAATAAAACAAAATGGGTCGAGCGCAGTCTTATTCCCATATTCCATTTTCCAAAAGAAAACAGTGCCATCTAGTGTGAAATACAGTTTTTAAAGTTTATCAGCTGAATGGAACTGGTTTAGGCAATTCTGATACTAAAGTGACACTTAGTGGTCTTACGATGCAACTGCAGAAAACCCAGCTATCTTTGAGCGTCTCTCAATCAGACAAAGGGAACGTTCCACTCTCTAAGGCAGTTGAATCATAAACTTTTCAAACACATAAAATGAACTTTTCAGTTAAGCCCTACAGACTCCCTCGGTTTACTGACTCAATTTAAAGTGCCGTCTTACATGTGGATTAAACATGAAGCAGATCATTGCTCAGCTGCAAGAGAAGTGCTCAGTGTCTTGTCTTTCTTTGGGTTGGATGGTTGTTTACCTGGAGAGGGGCTGGACTTTAAAAATCTCTCTCTCTCATTATTGAAGACTTTCTGAAACTCCTGCCAAAGAAGAAATTTTCAGATATTTTCAGCCTACCTAGTCATCAGAGAAAGGTCTCAGAAGTGGAAGATAATTTTTGAACTTTTCTGTTTTTATACTAAACTGAACAATTAAAGTCTTATAAGTTGGGAATGCACACAATTTACAGAGATAATTATTAATTGACAGCCAATCTTAATTATTCTGTGACTTGATCACAATTTGTCAGCTTCTGCTTTCCTTTACTTCAGTTAGGTTTTGATTTGAAGACACTTCATTGCCATTTTAGTCCTGAAACATGGTTCTCCGTAATGCTCAAAAATATAATGATCATCACCAAAAAGTACAGCCTGACGGAAGATTCTGTTTTCAGATGTTTTCTTGACCATTTATTGGAAGCACCATCACAAAGGGAGTTTATCCGGATACCTTATTGTTAGCACCACCTGGGACTCAATAAAACATTCACCTATACTTCTTTGTTTTCCTACCTGTATAAACATAAAATAATAGACTTAACTGGCTCTGAAAAGTTAGAATTAATAATAAGACGTAAACACAAATCATCTAGACGTCTATTCTACTCCAGAGCTGTTATATTCCAGAAATGCAACCTGCATTGAGATCCGATAAGTACAAAGTGTTCAGGTTCAAGAGACAAGATCAAGGAAGATTGAAACCCGACCACCACAAGTTTCACCTTGTGTGTAGGACAAGAAATATTAGAAGAAAATCGGATCAGGTGAACGGACCTGTGGCTGGATTAGTAACAGGTAACAGAACTCCACTTCAACTCAGAAGCCAGAAAGGTGGAGGTGAGAAGACTCATCTTCTTCTGATAGAAGATGATGAGTCTATCTTCATCTTCTAGTTGAAGAAGGACTCAAAATCCACTCCTAAAACTACTGACAGTTTTTAGAAGTCACACATTGTTTTGAAGTCATTTTTCAAAACAATGTGGGCAAAAAACAATTCATAATTGTGCACATATGGCACATAACTGCAAGGAAATAAAAGCTATTTACAGTAAAACAGGTCTACATTCAGGCATATTTTGAAAAAATAAATAAATTCAAGACAAAAGAAAGGCTTGAAAATGGCTTTATAAATTGCTGTTCTACACAGGCTTACCTCCTTGAAGCTGTCTCCATACATTTTTTTGATGTATCTTAGATAAGCTGTGGTCCACTGCAGCGTAGTGACTTTGTCTGTGTTCGAGTCACAGAATGGCACCATGGTGTTCAGCTCATCACAGCAGGAGCGGATCCTCTTCCTGTAAGTCACCAAACACATACAGTAAATCGAGTAGCATTGTATTGTTGTCTATCGAGTCATTTTCTAAGATTCACATACTAGTTATGTTTATCTTTTAATAATTTATTCAATGATTTCTTCGTTTCAGCAATTTTTATCAACAGCTTTCAAGAGTTTCAGGAACCCCTGATCATTCATGTAAATTCATTGAAAAAAATAATTCTTTAGAAAAAGTGAACTGAGGATGCTAACGTTAGTGTTGGGGATGTCTGTGCTGCTGCAACACGTTTTGCTTCCTCTGTTTTGCACAACTTGTCTTTTCCAGTGGCTTGTCAGACAGTTTTTTTGAATGGTAAATGGACTGAACTTATATAGTGCTTTTCCAATCATTTTGACTCAAAGCGCTTTATTCTAGAGTCACATTCACCCATTTGCACTCACAAAAGCTCACACATTCATACACTGATATGCAGATCGGTAGGCAATTTGGGGCTAAAGAGGAAGCTGGAATCTTCCTATCACAAAATGACCACTGTACCCACAGAGCCACAATCGCCCCAGTTGAAGCAAAAATTAACCCCGGGTGCACGAAGAGAAACTATTCCAGGACGGACCTTTGTATGTCCAAAAAAATGCAATTGTGTTAAAATTTTTAACATGTCAAAACCAATCCAATTAACGTGGTATAGTCCTGGCACCACCAAAAACATTCTGTTTAGATGAAAACAATGCTTATTTTATATTTGGGTTGACTTTTTACAATCTTGGGTTTATGTCTGAAATAAAATGAAAGCAAGAAGACATTACAACTATTCAGTAAAATGTTTATTTATAGAAAGTCACGTTTTCCCCTGTGTCCACCTCCACAGATTCAGTGGGAGTTACATAGAAGTATAAGAGCACTGAATACATAATCCACGAGTTGTGGATTATGTGAGCAATATCGGAGAAAGCAATGCTGAGTGTGCAGCCAACATTAAATCTAAAAAAAAAACTTTATAAGATGAAATACGAGATGGAAATTCAACTAACAGTTTGAGATGGCTCACCTGCGCTCCCTCTCTTTGCTGTTGTGTTTCTCCTTGCGTTGGGTCAGTGACAATGAAGATCGGGCTCTTTTGCAGCCACCCCTCCTGGACTTCTTGGATGGTTTTGGAGCAGTTTTAGCAGCTTTGGGAGGATCAGGACACAAGCTGCTGCAATGCCCTCTGTAGACAGCATGTGGCACCACATCCTCTGTGTGAAACAGCAATAGGACGCAGACTTAGAAAAATGCTGTGTAGTTTAATAGACAAAGAAATTAACTGAGTTTCTAATTAGAGTAATGACTCGTACTTTCAGTGAACATCAACTCCTGCTCTTCTCTGGGGTTGCTGTTGTCAGCGTAGACAGTTTTTATCACAGAAGTCTCTGGGTGAAAGCTAAATGAAAAACTGGGGGGCATTATTAAACCCTGATGTATGTTGGGCTCAGCCATGTGTGCAATAACCTGCAATTGCAGTAGAAAACATTAAGGATTAAACTGTTTGATTAAACATGCTGCCTAAATCTATGAAATTGATTAGTGATGTTCATTTTTATCCCACCTGCCCAAAGACATTGGTTATCGGTTCGAAAACACCTCCGACATGAGAGCTAGAGAGCTTAAAAGAATTTGCTCGGTCAGCTTTCACCCACTTTTGTGTTTGAGGATGTGTGGATGCCTCTTGAGCCTCTGCTGAGTGTTCAAATACTGTCAAAAGACTGAAGAGAACAGAAAAACAAAGGTTGCTGCACACTATGCAAAAATTATAATAATACAACAACATTACACGTCCTTAAAAAATGTATACATTATATAACTGAAACTGACTTGCTGAGAACAGCAGAGTGGCTATCCGGCTGCGTTGTCGTGTCAGCACACATGCTGTTGAATCTTTTCTCCAGACACACTCTTGCAGCTGATATGGATCGGTTCTTGGAAAACTCTTCTTTGACGGTCACCTTGATTGGGCTTTCTTCACCTCTGATTCTGGCCAGGACAAAACTTGGAACCTCACCATAAAACACAGGAGTCTTTTCCCCTGGCATTACCAGATTGTGGTCGTCATTTGAGTTTGAAGTTGACAAGTCAATGGCTTGACTGGACGTGTTGGGAGAAATCCCTGTAGAACAAGTGGCATTTTGAACCACTACTACAGCTGAGGATGGACTGGTATTAGAGTCATCTGAAAGCCCAGGCTCCACTTGCGACTGGTTGAGGTGCTGAAGGTGAGAGTAATCAAAATCTGACATCTCTGTTAGATCAAACTCTGAGCTAGTTGTAAGTCCCTGACTCTGGGTCCCACATGCACCTTGGCTCCAAATCAAACTGATGACATCAGAGGTGTGTTCACTTGATGATGGATGAAGAGTTTTATAAACTGGGTGAAGGGATGACATGTTTCACTCTGAAGACAGAAATGAAATAAATAAAAAATATTATTTAAATTAGAGGTCAAAACCCACTTCTGGTTGATCACTGTTAAACATTTTGAATTAAATAACCATTACGCCAGTGTATTTTCTTAACACACTTAAGTATAAAGTGGAAGTAAAATTATGCCATTTTCAAAACCTGCAAGTTTGCATGCATCTATAACAGCTCATCTTTACTCTGGCCCCCCTACATAAAATGTCACCAAATTAGTCAGTAGATTTACTAATTTGAAATTATAATATAATTTTAGTGTAAGTGCATATGTTCTGTGAATGCTTCAGAGGCCCAGGTGAGAAGAGTCTTAAGCGGCCAAGAGAGCTATAGTAACTCTGGAGGAGCTGCAGACAGTCACAACTCAGGTGGAGAAATCATGCACAGACATATTAGTCATGCAACTCTAGCCCCATGGTGACACAAGGTGATGGCTGGCTCACGCAGTTGGGCTAATTGGATAGATGAGATTAAAGTTAAACCTTTTGGTCCTAATCTTGAGTTATTTTGCATAGAGGAATAGGCAAAAGAATAAATAAAATGTAAGTATAGACATGCTAAGCTAGTGAGGACCTAAATTCTTTAGAAACTATTTTGTTTTCACTTAAGTATCGTGTGCTATTTTATTATTTAAATAGCAGGTAAAACATTCGTGATTGTGGTGGTTGCGTGAAAATGTCAACAAAAGCATAAATTCTTCAGCTGCTTTACTTTTATAATGATTACGCTAAAAGTTTCGTACTAAGGAGCCCTACATTATGCCGCTGGTTGATCCAATTAAACAAAACTTCCTCTCATTAAGAAAAAAAAATGCGGAATTTATTGGTTTATTGGTTATAGTGACACAAAATATGCGTATATACGTGATATGGCATGGCATATATTAAGTTGCATTTTTATTTAAAAAGCCTATATATTGCTTATGACGAGACAATGGAAAACGGCTACCTTAAGAGTAAAGAAACTATTTGATAAATTCTTAAAACAAATGTGCCTAAACATACCGATATCAATGAATAATTCTTACTCACGAGGCGGTTGTTGGAGGGAATCCTTTCCAAATGGACAAATTTTGTTTCTTCAGCATTTAAGCGTTGTTTACCATCATTAGCAGCTAGCTGGTGAACGCTACATTAGCATTTTAGCAAAGCGACCACCACACTAACGTTCGGCTACGTACACCGTCGCCATCTTTGAATGCACTACACAATACCCATAACTAAAATAATTATAAAAGTTTACTTTATACATATGCATATATAATAAAGTAAAATTGTTCCAGCAGCTAGATCTCTTTTGCTTTCTTCAGAGATAACGTCTGAATTGATGGCCGGAAAAGTGACGTTCAACATCAATTATGTTCCCCAAATGTATCAGAACTTTAGAGAAGACCTAATTATCTGAAACACAACATATACTCAATTTTATAAAGAATATTAGATGTAAAGTTTTTGTTTATATACTCACTTTAATAAATCAACATAAACTCAAATGTACAAAAATCAGCTTTGTCAAGAAAAGTATACTGAAAACATTACGGCAGCATTAATGTTGCCGTAATGCGACTGGTTGAGGTGTCGCTTTTCTAACCCTAGAAAAGTGACAGAAAATATTCAAAATCACTGTGTGAGGAAGACAAGCATCAGTTCCCCTCATAACTCCGCAAGAATAAGCGTGTTTATGTATTAAAAAATTCATTCTTAATGACATGTCAGTATAATAACAGTGAAATATTGGAAATTATTTCAGTAATATCAAACTGTTGCAAAAAAAAAAAAACTGCACAAATGTACAGCTGTAGAATGTTTAATGGAGTAACTTAATGTTATTGCTAAAATGTCAGACTCCTCCAAAACCCCAAAATGAAACTGTGAAAGTCAAATCTGACCTTCTTGTCTTCAATCTGACATTATTTTGTATGCTCACTGTTGAAGCCTTTCAACAAAAACACATCTCTTCTAAATGTAAAATTAAACACCCTCCTACAAAAAGACAGAAAACCCTTCTTCCACCTTATCATAAAGTTAAAACACACTTTTGGGGTAGCTGACATAACATGAGAAGTTTTTACTCTTTTTGGAAATGAAAAAAAAAAACAGTTCATTTTCCAAACTAATAGTTTATTTTGTCTTGATATAAGATGATTTCAACATAAATGGATATCTCTACTGATGGACCTAATCAAAACAAAAATACAGTGAAGAAGCACTGACAAGTTACATTTTTAACAAGTTTTTAAAATGTCACTTTATTGACTTGTAGCATTCTCAAAGAACATTGAAACAAGTTACATTTTTAGGAGCATAAAAATGTAACAAACAAGACAAGATAATACAGTGATGTTATGACTCTTAAAAACAAACAACAAAAAAACTATTGTGCAAAGCTTTTTAAACTATTTTCTTCCTTTCTAGATGGTATAATATACAACAATTTACAAGATGTAGGTCATAATCAAACAACTACTATGACTGGAAACAAAGTCGAACATAATTAACACAAAAACTCAGCATTTCTGTATCAGTTAACCATTACCATTACAAGCCCATTGGCTTGACTACAAAGTTGCAATATAAATGAAAATTGCCTTTACAAAACCATACACTTCAGGAAGCAATATTAAAGTGTTTAATAGCCTTGAAATCCTAAAGAAAACATATGTACTTTGAGACTTTTGCAAGTATTAGATCAATATGTTTTTAAGATCCAAGATTGTCCATACTTTATTTTTTATTAAAATGTTGCCTCTGTTTACCTCTGTTTTAGTACTATAACAACATTCCTTCTTCATACCCTACATTTTGTTATCGAGCAGGAGCTCCTCGTCCTGGCCCTCTTGCACGCCCTCTTAACCAATTATCCATTGCTCTGCCTCTACTTGTTCCCCTGCTCCTATTGAATGGGGAGCCAAACTGTGGTGTTTTCAGAGAGGAGGCATCATGACTATTCATCACAGGATCTGAAACCGGTAATGGACCATCAGAAGGAGTGGGAAGTAAAGCACCTCTGTGTCTTTGAGGTTGCACAGCTTGTTGATTTTGTGGACTGTCAAAGTCATGGAATGAATGTCCTTCTCTGTTTGGACCAGGACCTAAAGGCCTACTGAATGGTGCTGGAGGTCCTTCATGAGGGCCATGGCTGCCTTGATGAGGACCTCTTCTCCCCCTGCTAGTTGTTTGACCTGGATGTCTTTGTTCCCTTTCCCTCCTATCTACATCTCTTCGATCAGATTCTGGAAACTCTGAGTTTGATTCCCATCTACCAGGTCTAAAATCTGAATTATTTGGTGACACTCCCCTACGTTCTGTGCTGCTAGGCCCTTGTCTCATTATTGGACCCCTTCTTACTCTCCTAAAGTTATGCTCAAATCCTTCAGGATCTGCTCCTGCATCCATGTCTGCACTATGCCTTTCAGCGCAGGATTCCCCAAAATCTGAAACTCTCCTATCTGACACAGGACCTTCATCATTGAAATTTCTGTAGGAAGTTTCTGGGTATCTTAAATCTGGACCTCCTGGAGCCTCCATGTCAAATGGTCTCCTGTTTGGATGTTTGGCTCCCCTTTGAGGCCAGGGCATCCCATGATCATGGCCTCTCATTTCCTCCTCAAACTCCTGACGTCTCCGATCATCATCCATGTTTGCATGTCTTTGCTGAACCGATCCTCGTCCTCTACTTCTGACTCCACCCCAGCTTTGTCTTCTATTGCATGGACCCCCTCTCCTTCTGAAAAATGCCCCAGAATCTTCTCTATCAGGCTCAGTCCATTGATGTTCTTCTCTTTCTCTATTAGGGCCAGGACAATCCATGTCTGGGTTGTCACGAACAGGCCCTGGATGCCTAAAACCAGCCCCATCCCAGTCTTCTCCAGAAACAGAAAACTGCGCATTTTCTCCATCCTGTGTCCATTCACTATGATTATCATGGAAATTAAGGCCTTCACCTTGTTCATCAGGATGATCTTGGAAAATCTCTAAACCTCTGTCACTACTGTTGTCCCAAATATCTCCAGAAGATTCACCTCCCTCCAACTCTTCAAATCTTGGCCCTCTTCTGTCTAACCACTTCCCCTCAAAGGCACCACCGCTCCGACTCGGTGCAAAGCCACGGGCATTTGGTCCCGGTCTTCTGATGCTTCTTCTCAATAGCCTTGAAGGTCTAAAATTTCGCCCTCTCCTATCAGATTCTAAGACCTCAAAATCAGGAAATTCTTGAACAGGTTCAGCCTCCCCCCAGTCATTTTGTCTGTCATATCCAAGATCCTCAGTATTTGCCCTTTCCTCCCTGGCGCCTCGACCTCTGCAATCACTTGATTCTCTCCAGTCAGGTCTTCGGCCATCAACGCCTGGACGTGGTCTTGCAGGCATGGATTCTCTAAAGCTTGGGCCCCTTGGATTTTGTTTATCAGGGACTGGGCCCTCATAATCTGGTCTCCTACAGAATCTTGGACCTATCCTTGTAGTCTCAGGACCTCCCACAACATTTCTGTTATGTTCCACCTCTTCAGGGTGCGCCACGTTCCTATTAGGCTGCAGACCCTCCATATTTAAAAATGTTCTTCCTTGCTCAGGACATCTGAATTGTGAGTCTCTTGGAGGGCTTCTGTTTGCTTGTTTTACATTAAGAGCCACTCTTTCTGGCCACAGGTCACATGCAACTGGAGCACCTATTCTTCCTGTTCTTGGAACCCCTGGTCGTGTTCTATTTAATTCTGAACCCACCATATCTGAATTAGAACCTCTGAGATTTGGACTTCTCCCCCTGTGTTCTGAGCCTTCCAAATTTAGGCATGCAACGTCTGTTACATTTCCCCTGAAGTGTGGTCCTCCTTGTACAGGCTTAGGACCTTCTAAACCTGAGATAATTCTTGCTTGTCCTTGTTCTGTGTTATCAGGCCCAGCATGCCCCAAATGTGTTCCTTTTCTTTCAGATCCTGGTCCCCAGTTTTCTGGTTCTTGTGGTCCTCTCCTGTCAGAATTTTGGCTATCCAGAGCAGGATTCCTCATTTCATTTACAGGCCTACTGAAATCTGGACCGCCAGTAACTCTCCTGTCAATTTTTGGGCCACCCAGGATGGCATTTGTATTATCAAACCCTTGCTCAATAAAATTTGGATGTTCAAATATTTTGTCTGGCCCAGGTCTTTGCGAAGTTAAGTATCTGCCTTCGGGACCTGGCCCTCGGAAAACTGGACCTCTACCTTCTCTACCTGGGGGACCAGTATTTTCAATAGGAAGACTTCCTTTATTGTAACCTGGACCTCTAAATTCTCGATGTTCAGACCTGTGGTGCTCCATTGACAAGCCTCTTGTTTCAGGCCCTCCTCCTCTGAAATTTGGATCTCCTCCTCTCCATTCATTCCCAGGACCCTCCGTATTTAGACCCCTTTGATCAATTCCTGGACCAGGGGCATCTGGTCCTCTCCTTTCAGGCCAGTTTCTTTGTTCAAGTCTTTGTCCCACAAGATCTGGATGCCCTGGTCCTCTACTGTCATGGATAGGGTTCTCACTCTTAGGACCTATCCATTCTGGTTCCTTTATCTTAAAATCTGGACCCACTGGCTCTCTCCTGCAATGCATTGATGCTTCAATGTCAGGTCCTTTATTTTCTGACCATTTTCCCATCATATCTGAACACACAGGTTGTCTAGTGTCATTCCTTGTGAAGTGCAACTCAGGATTTCTTATTTCAGTCCTAGGTCCTACAAAATCTGTCCCTCTTGGGCCCCTAAAATCATGCATGAAAGTTTGTCTGTCTGGACTTTGTTCTTTATTTTTTTGTCCATACTGAAAGTTTTGAGTGCCTTTTTTGCAAGGTCCCTGACTCTCCAAATTTGTCACTCTTTCACCAAACTGATGGGTACTCCAATTATTTTGTGTGAATGTTTCTGTTCTGACCGGATGTGTTAACTCCCTATTTAATCCTTTCTGAGCATCTCCACTGTCTGACTGTGGGGGATTAGAACATAAAGGTCTTTCTCTCCAGTCTGGATTTGAAATACCTGGCTTGTCTCCACATTCTAGACCATCACGGAAGTCTGGATCTCTTTTAATGAGTTGAGATTCCCTTTTCCCAAGTCCTCTTTCAACAAAGGAAAGACTTTCAGTATGTTTTGAATGTGTTTGATCTCCTCTGAATCCAAAAAAAGATGGGTTGTGACCTGTTTTATTAACCATTCTAATATGAGAACCCAAAGACCCAGGATGTGAAATCTTTCCATCAAACTGGGGACTCCCAAATGATGTGTCTATTTTCATAATGTCTGACTTGCTGTCTAAGTTCTTTGGTTGCAATCTTAACTCATCTGTTTTCGAAAAAGGCAAAGGTTCTCTGTAATAACCAACATTTTGGCCTTTAATATTTGTATTACAATGTTGAACAGTTGAGACAGAATCCTTTGACCCAGGCAGAGGTCTGTCTGACAACTGACTTCTAACAAATTGATTTTGGGCCTCAATTTGTGTTCTTAATACTGGAATGTCAGAATTTGATGCACTTTGCACAACATTTTGCATCACATCAGAGCATTGATGAGCTATGCCTTGGTTAATGATTTGGAAAGAAGAGCTTTCTGTCCCTTGCATTTTATTTGTTATTTCTGAAACTCTTGGGATAGTCTGTGGATCAGTCACATTGGGGTTATAATTTTTTATCAAATTTAACATTGAGCCCTGAAGGCATGTTGCTTGTTGCATTACTCGTCTTTCTGAACCATCTGCAGGAGTGCGCTGAGTGCTTGGAGTAGGTCCCAAAGCATTTCTCATTATATGATGCATGTCAAGCCCTTTTCTATCAAGCCCTGTAAACCCAATTTTCTTGTCCACTTGATCTGTTTGGGTCATACTGTGTTCAGAATCTTTTATATTTGCTGTTGGATTTCCAGTACTCTGAAAACTTGGACCAGGTGGAACACTGTGTGAAACAGTATCCCGTACTGGTCCTGAGTCCTGGATATGTGGTCCTTTTTGTAGACTGGAGATTGTTTGATGGCTAACTGCCATAGAGTCATTTTCATCTTTAAGAAATGATGCTGAAGCACTGTTTTGTTCCTCAGAGTCTGCAGTTCTAGCACAGTCACCTTCAGTGCTGAAAGGTTTTGAAAACTGTGGTTCTGGATCTGGACTTTCAGGAGAATCTCGAAGAGGTGGATCAATTTCTCTCAGAGGAATTTTGCTTTCAATTTTGTCTTGAAGCCATGTGTCCTGCAGAGACGGTTTGTTTTCTTGACTTGTAGAACTGTTAATTTGATCATCGCATTGACTGATTGACGGTTCTAAAGTCTCTGTCTTCACATTTTCAATAAGTGCAACCGAGTGTTTAACAGGGTTCTCAACAAGATTACACTCAAGCTTAAGTTCACTCGGCTCATTTTTAATTCCAGCAACTGATGTTGATTCTATTGATGTCTTTACGGTTTCAGAAAGATTGTATGGACCACTTCTGTGCTTTGTTTTGTCAATGACTTGTAAAGCAGCTCCCCTGTGGCGTTTTGGTGAAAGAGAGGCAGACTGTTTTCTTCTTGGTGAAGATGAGGACCTTCTCAGCCCATGAGAATGTCTGCCAGCAGCATGGTCTTTTCGATGGTGTCCTGGATAATCAGATGGTTCTCTGGTTCTGTGCCTTGACCTCTCTCTTTCACTTCTGTGTTTATCCTTGTCTCTATGTCTTCTAGAATGTGACCTAGAACGTCTCCGTGACCTTCTTGAAGGGCTTCTGCGGTCCCTTTCTCGACGACTCCGTCTTTTAGGTGACGACTTTCGCCTTCTGCTGTGGTGTGAATTTGGAGAGTCGCCTTTATTCCCAACACTATCCCCAGTCCTTGATGAACCATCATTAGTCTTTGTACTCCCTCCCTTAAATACATCATCTTGGATTTCATCAAAAAGTGACTCATCTTCAGGGTCATAAGCTACATCAGAGTCTTCGATCTCTCCGGCAGATGAATATTTCTCACATTCCTTTGCATTTTCTTTCATTTCCATTTGTTCTGTTAGTGTATCTGTGGTATTTTTTAAATTATCACTGACATTTGTATGTTCTAGCTTAACAGTTTCTGACTTCACAGCAGTATTATCCTCCGTCACTGTATTGTTGTTGACCTTGTCAGATTTATCTGCAGGCTTTGTTGGTATTACAGCACTCTGCACAGCTGGTACAGATTTTGTGGGAGGAGACATCAATGTATCAGAAACAGAAAAGTGAGCCATAAACATACCTACAGCTTCTCTCTGTTTACGCAGGACCTCTTCCTGTTCTTTTAGCTGTCGCTTTTGCTCTTCAATTTGCTTATTAAGTTCCTCAAGCATCCGCTGCTGTTCACTCAATGTTGCAGCTGAGACAACTACAGCACCTGTATGAAAAGTCGACACTACAGAAGTTGGGTTCGATTTAAGTGTAGTTGGAGTGGAATCAGGAACTGCTGGTGGTAATGTTGGTGTTTCTGCATTTTGGGTTGGAATGGGGAGCTTTGTTACGACAGCATCACTTTGATATACTTCAAAGATAGTTTCATCTTCTGGATCATAGGCCACATCGTCTTCCACCAAGCCTGATAATGTAGAGTCATCGGTCTTATTCCTGTCTGTGATTTGTGGATTAAAAACTTTGTATCCCTTTGCAGGATTATATTCCTCTTCAGGGTCATAGGGTCTGTCAAAGTCATCTTCCTTTTCTTCTTGTTCTACCCGTTTGACTTTTGATTTCTGTCCATACTGCTGGACTATTGGATCAACCATAGGTCCAGATATTTTAGGAAACACTGGTTTCTTCTTTGAACTTTCTGTTGCTTTGGGGGAGCTCCCGTCAGAGGAGATTGTTGGGTCTGACTCCTTTCCCCTAAACAGTGTCTTCAAAATAGTCTGTAATGGGTTATTATTGCTGGATGATGGTGTAACATTCTTGACTAAGTTGCTAACAGATGTGGAGTCTGTGGCAGCAACGGATGAGACTAAAGGAGTTGTGTGAATGGAACTTAAGAGGGAAGGTATGGTAATTGAGCCAGAAGAGGAAGAATCCGATGGCGAACCAGGAGGGGAGGAAGTAGCAGGTGTCTCTGGATCATATGGTTTGAACATGTCCAGCTTGTCAGAACCATAGAGGACTGGTGGTTTTGGAATCCACATAGGGTCTTTGGACATGTTAACTTTGGGTTTCTTCTCTTCAATTTCCTGAGGCGTGCTTCCTGGACGCTTTAACTTCTGGACAATTGCTAGACCCAAAAGAAGATTGGGTCTGTTCTTTTCAAGGCCTGAAAAAACAGACAAAATCAATTAAACAAAGTATCCCAAATTATTTCATTTAAATACAACTTAAAAGCTCTGAAATATTCCTGACTGACAATTAAAAACAAAAATGTTGACCTTTCTAAAAAGTTTTTGTATGTAGAGACCAACACTTCAGGTGAATTTAGGCTACATAAAAAACAGATACTTTTCTATTCAAATGTAAACTCAGAAGAGGTACCTATGAATTTTAAAAATGTTCCTTTTATTGGTCCTAATGAGTGTTTAGCAGGTCAGAAAAATCCGATTTTTTTGTACTTCTTAAAAACTAAAAATTCTCACTATGTTTTGTGTTTAAAAGAATCAAATTTATCAGTGAAAATTAAAGGAGGTTAGGGAAAGTCCTATTTCTATCATCTGCTGTTGGATTCTAAACTCCTATCTCTATCAACAAACCTTTGGCACTTTTTTCTTATTTATATGTCATGTAGAAAGAAAAATCAAATGTTATCAAAATAGAAAATCTGAGCAGCAAACATTTGAATTAGTCAGAGAAAGCCTGATCAGTGCATTTTTGGTCAAAATAAAATTCAAATAAAAACTTTTACAAATAGGGTGAAGTTAAACATCACTTAACATGAAGATAGCATGATAAAACATAAAAGTTAAATATTTTCATACCTGGACCTTCAAAAGGTTGTAGTATGGATGGGATCGACTCATTTGCACCAAGAGGGACAAGATATACATCTTTGATGGAACGGCTTATGTTGGCAACGACACCAAAACGGCCTCTGCTGCTGAAGTAGGAAAACAGGGACACGTAGGCTACCTCTTCCTCCTCTGTTGCAGGGTGAAACCGGATCACGCACAACTCCTAAACAAAACAGAAGAATGAGTAAAAATAACTGATACTCCCTCAACACTATTTTTGCAAGGTGGAGGCATAAATATAAAAAACATCTTGCTTGCCTTTGTAACCGAGGTCTTCAGTTTTACAACATAATCCCACACAGTCTCGGGTAAGATTCTCCCCCCGATTTGTATGGTATCAGGCAAATCCTGTACAACACACAAAAACGTAGTTTTACAATGATGTCCTCTGTGAGAGAGGCAGATGTGCTCAGCTAGCATTAAGCACCATTGTGCATCACTATACCGCTTTAATATTTTCAGTGGGTCCTGAAACCAGGTATCCCTTTGTCACAAACTTGGCCACCGTGAGCATGTTTACAAAGCCTTTCCACAGTATGCCCTGCTTTGCTAGGAACTGTGTAGTACCACCATCTGCTGGGGTCTGAGAGATTGTGGCTCTGAAACATAAACAATGGCAGAGTACAACTTACGTCCCCATATTTCTTCCCAAAAAGACTAAAACAAGATTTAGAATTAAAACTCTTTAAATACCTGGAGGATGCACCACTTAGTCTTGGGTCAGAAGAGGAGGATGGCTTCATTAAGATTGATTTGGGTAATGCTTTTGGTGGTGCGACTGAGGGTGGTGGTGCTGAGCTCGGTGCCAGGCTACCTTTTATAGCAGCGTAAGGAGCCGCTTGCTTGGAAGTGTTACTAAAGCCAGAGTTGCCACCTGAGGAAGCAGTGAACCTGTTTGCTGCAGTTCGGGGGTCACGTCTTGTAATGGTTACAGTGGAGACAGTGGGAATCACAACTGGTGTGTATGATCTCTTTGATGCAGGCACTGTGGATCCCTCCGGAGTTGGAGAAGCAGGAGACTCCATGATGGGGGAAGCAGGAGACTCTAATGCTGGGGAGGCAGGAGAATCCATCGTCGGGGAGGCAGGAGATTCAACAATTGTCAATTTTGGAGAATCAATGTCAATTTGGGATGATGGCTCCATCAATGAAGATGTAGGAGATTCCATTTCAGGTGTGTCAGGTGGTGCCAACAGAGGAGACTCATCTCCCCCAGGCTTCTTCCAAGATATCTTATCAGTCTTGTCTCTTGATGTAGAGACCTTTAACTTTTTCTTAGCAGGTTCTTCACCTTCAATAGCTTGCATCTGGCCTTTGAGAATGAAAACAAAATCATTTTAATCAAAACATTTTAAAATAACTTTACATGCTTATTGATGACACATTATAAATATTATTTAGATTACATAGATATTTTTCAAGTATTCAAAAAAAGTTGTTTTAAATGCACATAAACAAGTTTAGATTGTTTGTATAACCATCTCATGATCCAATATCTCTGACTTTTTTTCTCCCTCTCTGTGTAAAAAATGAAGCAGTGCAAAAATACAAAACAGCTTCTATCGCTACAACACAGTAATAAAGTCAAAGAGCAAAGCAAATCTGAAGCTCATCAATTTTTACTGTATAATAGTAGTTGAATCAATTAAAGTTGTATTTTGTATTTACCTGTGCATATTTTGCATTTCAAGTCAAAGAGGTGAGCCTTGTGTTCTGATGTTGTATCCTTAAGCATGCAGGAAAGTATATCTGGCATCTTTTTGTTCTTGCTTGGTTGCATAACTCTAGATTTGGAAGATTGAGGAGGAATGACTTTCTTCTGTTCCTAAGAATCAAATGTAAAATAAAAATACAAAATAAGTATAATAAACAGTAAAAACTTGCGCCAGCAGTGACAATTGTACAGACCGTGCTCTCAGGCTTCCTTTCCGGTCTAGGAGGATTCAAACTGGGCAGATCGATCTTCACAGCTTCAGGCTTTGGGACATTTGTCCCCTTAGCAGCTTCAACTTTAACCTTTGCAATCAAAAACAGTCAAATCACTCAATCTTTTCTATTTGTTTTATATAATTCATTAAAATCTCCTTTTGTTTTCAGATATTCTTTACCTGAGTTGTTTCCTTAGTAGTTGGCTCAGGGGCTTTAGTAGCCTGCATGTCCTTTTGGGTCATTCTGACCAGTCTGAAAGGGCCTATTTCTCCATTTACAACCCGATACAACAAGCCCTAGAATACATAAAAAAAAGGCAACATTTGATTTCACAATGGAAAAAAAAGATCCAGTCCGCAATATGAAGAGTCAGATTTGAACATCATATAATAATACAAAAAAAAACATTCACTAAGATGTCAACCAACCTTATTTCTTGGATCTTTTAGGTTGAACATTATAGTTCTATACTTGTTCATGTATTTGCTGTCTGTGTTGCGGAATATGTCAAACATTTCCTTCTCAATGCCAGCAACAAGTTTTATAACTTCGCTCTCAGGCATCTCCAGATCTTCACAGTCACTTACTCTAAAGAAAGACAAAATATATCTCCAATCATTTTACACACCCACATGGAAATGTTATTCTTGAGATCCAGACAAAAAGGATGCATTTTCTTGGCTACAAATACAAGTCATGTCAAAAATGCATTATGCATCATTTCTTGATGTATAATGGAATAGTAGAGGCAAAATATGACATATATATATATTTTTTTATTTCAAGAATAAAGTCATAATAGTTGCAGAAAAAGATGCAGTATCTACAGAAGAAAGTCATAAAATTATTTTTTCTCATTATTATTTTAATGAGAAAAAAACTTGGATAATCATGAAGATCTGATGTGACCAGAAACCAAAACCAGGGGTGGGGGGTTCTTTCTTCGAAACAATTATTTGCACAATTGTTTTAAAGTTCTGCTACTGATAATAACTTAATGCTGATGAGTAAAATTAAGTATTTTCTTATTTGTAAAACCGATACCAAAGTACAACTTCACAAGATGCTCAGCATTAATTATAATTTTATAACTTTAATCTGTGATTTTTTTCTTATCTTGGCCATGGTACTGAAGAGGTTTAAAAGAACAAAATGAAAATGGCCTTTCTTTTTAATAATCCAGCTAAATTGGGTAAACTTGATATGATCAAGTTTCTTACACGTTGGTAAAAAAAAAAAGCTAAAACACAGAAGCACTGTGTAAAAAATAGACAAATAATAATTCAGTGGTTGTACAGCCACCAATAGCAGGAATAACTAAAGGTGTATCAAGAAATTCCATCACCATCAAATCATTATTTGATGGTGATGGAAAGCAACGAATCAACTTATTTGTGGCTTTGATGACAGAGTAATACATTTCTAATTTTTTCACAAAGTCTCAATTATTGTCAATGAAAACCTCAATCCAATACCTACAACCAATAAATTAAAAGAACATTGTTCAGCTATATTATTGGAAAATTGGGTGGAAGGAAAAAGTGTAGTAATAAAAAGAATGCCCAGCTTTGAGAGAGTGCAGAAGCAACCCCCATTAAGAAGCTTCTTAATGGGGGCTTGGATCGGTGAGTTTCATCACTGAAATATAGTTTTGCATAATTTTCTAATTTTGTCGTTTAAAGCAATACTGAGGAATTTTGGCTGCATCTTCTTAACAACAGCAAACCTTTTTATATTAAAGTTGTGTTCACCCAATTTTATCACAAAAATCAATTAAAATTAAATTAATCAATTATATGCTTCAGAGGCTTTAATGTGAGTCTCTAAAGTGGTTCTCACCTCTTAAACAAGATGGTGGTGAGGGAGCGCTGGATGCTCTGTCGGACCTGGTTATTGGGCTGAGAGGGTCTGGAGGGCGGAGCGCTGGGTGCTGGAGGCACGAGGAGATTTCGAGTTTCGCTCAACAGAGCCGGGACTGCAGACACTTTCTGGGATGGCTGGCTGCATGAAGACTGAGGAACAGTCTGTTTCTTTGGTATAACATACGTCGTCTTTTTGACAATCAGGGCGCCCATCTCTAGATGTTGAACAGCTGAAATGGGCGGAGCTTGTGTGCCATCAGATTCCTCAGATGTTGGAGGTGGTGAGACACTTTCTGCAGCTTTTTGTTGATCGGACACATCAGTACTTTCAGGTTCTTTTTCCTCAGACGGATTCTGTAATGGGGATTCTTCGGCTACAGACTGGGGGAGAAGAGGAGCGTCTGCTGTGGGCTCCTCTGGACGCTGTTTTGGAACAGATGTGGCCTCAGTGTCGGGCTCTGGCTTGTCACTGGTCTCATCAGCTGCTAAAAATGAGGACAAAAGAAAAAAAATGTGGCGTTTTATAAATATGAGAAAACGTCCACAAATTGGTCACTGATTATTTATCTTTCTAGTTTTCTCTAGTATGTTATATTTATTCTGCATACAGGAATATTTGATTTAGATGCACATGACATGAACATAATTTTGTTTTCCAATTCCAGTGCTTCACACATATTAATCAACCATGGTCAGGAGAAGGGATCAGGTTTCCAAGATGTTGGTAAAAAAACAACAAAAAAAAACTTCCTATCTAAAAGACAATCTTTTTCAATTACATTTGTGCATAAAACCTTTTTTTTATTTCTGGACTGGTGCGTACAAGATAATCAGGTCTAGTTTCAATGCAGTAACTTTTAGAGGTCATTTTTGACTTTTGCACACATCCACAACTCTAAGGGGGTACTTAGTATTTGAAAACTTTCACATTTTCCCTTCATTTCTGTTAATGAATGAAAACATCATGGAATCAGTGGTATCGGTTTTGTGTGGTAAATTCACACTTCAATGGCACCAAAATGTAATTTGTGTACTGCAGAGACACACTAAGTTAATGTCTAATGTATTTGAGAGATGAGAAATCTTTCTGAGAATATTCACATCAACATTGTCTGTGTAACTGATTTCTTCTGTCCAACTAAAATGTAACAAAGAAAAGCACTTCTTAATTATTTGGTGTCATTGGTCAGTAAATTCAACAAGATTATTTGTAGATATAACGCATTAGAAAGTGGCACATAGACTTTTCACAAAACAAAATCAGCTTTTTTGTGTTTGTTCTTAAGCTATCAATACAAATATGATGTATGTTGATGTGTTTACACACTGAAAAAAGTGATTTCTCAATTTTTGTGCATTTAATGAACAGAGATAATCCCAGTATCATTGGCTATTTGATTTTTGTATCCTTAAGAGAAACTCCTGCATATCCTACCTCTCAAAACAAAGAGGATATTCTAATATTATTATAATTAGATCTCTAAAAAGCTGATTTTTTATTGGGTTAAAAGAATGTCCAAAAAATATTGCCACTTCTCAATTCAGACACCTACCCTGTTGCTTAGAAAAAAGCATTCTGAATCTCTGTTGTGGTCAGTTTGATATTTAAACAGTTCTCTTCTGCTGAACTGAACAAATCATCCAAGTATTAAACTACTTTTATTGGAACTTTCTTGAATTGACCAAAACAAAGCAGGGCGTAATTGCAAAATACAAGGAACTAGATTAATGTTAAAAAAAAAAAAAGAAAGAAAAGTCTGGACTTTAACTGGACCATTCTAAACTATGAATATGTTTTGATCTAAACTGTCTCACTGTTCTCCGGCTGTATGTCTTGCTGTAAGCAAATCTTGAGTCTCAACAGGTTTTCTTACAGCACTGCCCTGCATTTAGCTCCATTCATCTTTGAATCAACTCCACCCAGTTTCTATCAGAAGAAAATTATCCCCACCACATTTCATCTGTGTTGATTTTCCACCATGCACATCATTTTGCAAGTGAAGTTCAATTTTGGCCTTATGTAACTAAATCAGACACCCTTCTTTTTTGGTACATTCTCAAAAAGGCCAGGATTTGTTGGAAGTTCTCTTCCCAACAAATTCGGATCTCAAAAGTTCCTGTGTTACCACAGGCCTCTTGGTGTGCTATGCCACACCCTGATAGCTTAGTTTTGCTCTTACAGTTATGATAAATGCTTTAATTATAATTTTTTAACTTTAATCTGTGATTTTTTTCTTTTCTTGGCCATGGTACTGAAGAGGTTTAAAAGAACAATGTCTGTAAAATAGTATGTAGAGATGTTCAAAACCTGGGAAATTGTTTTATAACTTAAACCTGCCTTAAAGCACATCACAAATATACTCTAGCTCTTTCTATGTTCCTTGTTCTTCATTGTTTTCTGACAAAAGGGCCATTTTCACCAAACCAGTTCCAGTGCTGTATGTTTCCACTGAATAAGTTAAACCTCTGGCCCCAAACAATTTAAATGTTGACAAAACTCAGTTTGATGCTGGACCAGAGGAAGCTATCACTTTCATCAGGACATGAAAGGCGGACAAATGGCAAAAGGACAATCAAAAACGCCACAGTGGTTCAAAGGCACCATGTCTATGAGGTGGCTTTAAGGTGGTAGAAAATCAAACCAGTCCTTTGACCTGTAACATAAATCCTTAACACACCAGCATTTCACAATAAATGTTCTTCAGTTGAGCAGAATATCACAAGCTAACTGTCTCTTATCTGGCAGTTTAGGGAAATGGGTTTTATAAGCAGCCCTTATTATCTCCTGGTTGTGTTAACAAATCTTCTTATTAAGTTGTGTTTAACCATCTTTTCAGCATTTTTGGTGTGTATAAAACACTAGCTGCTTAAGATTGTGTGTTATTCACAACCATCACTTTTTGTATAAAACTGTGTTAACTTAGCGCAACAGTTTGTGAAACTGGGATAAATAATATGATTTGTATTTTTTAAATGTTGCCATCCACTGTGATCCATCACACACACACAAAAAAAAGACAACTAGGATCAAATAAAAACTAGATGAGATGTTTAGGACATTGCTCTTGGGTGGTAGAGAATAAAACTGATTCTTTGACAGAATCAGACCTGGCTAACACCAGCTCCAGTAAAGGACTAGAACCTCTAATAAATCTGATAATGTTTTGTAAACTTATTAAGAACAAGTCACATGTACAGCATTTCTAAAAGTAATAATAATAATAATAATACATTTTAGCACTTTGGGCACCAATTACACCCCTTTGTCTTCCTGGTTATATCTCTGCATCCTTGGAAAAGCAGCTTCTAGAATTTCCCACGTCTTATCGGCATATCCTTCTTGATCTCTGTCAGGCTTTTGGAAGTGCAGGTTCTTTCCAAAGACTCAAATTGCTCCTGAAGCCACTCCCTTGTTATCTATGCTATGTGCTTTGGGTCATTATCATGTTAGATGAGAAATCGTTGCAAGATGTTGTATAATGTGCATTAAATCCATATCTGTATAACATTCTTTCTCTTCTGATGTCTTTACTGAACATCCCTTCCAAAAATAAATCATCAATGACTTTGGAAATGTGGTTATTTTCTTCAGGAAGTCGTCTTTATGTCTTCTTTAGGATCACACAAATCAAATTTTCCACCATCAATTCCTTGGGCTTATGCTCATTCAGGATTTATTACCAAATATCACAGTCCATGAAAGCCACACATAAGCCAACTCTAACCTTGTTTTTTCCTGTTATTTATGTTGTGTATTTGCATACTGTTTGCTTTGTAATGTTTTCTGTCCTGATGTCTTTATGTATTCTTGAACTAGTATGTGTTTACAACCTTCTACTTTTGTTTTGAATTGATCAAAATTGTCTTGCGATACACAGATATGTTTTACCTTAATGAAGGTAAATTGAAGAAGTAAAGTTTCAAATGTTTCAACTCTTATCTTGTTAGATTAATTCTTCCTGTCAATCACCCATAAATGGCTCATGAAAGTCTTCAGGTTCTCTTGTTTAGACTAAAAGCCAATATATACTTTGAAACAACAGAGAAACTTCATCTTTCTGTTCTTGCTTGTTCTTGATGCATTTTCTGGGCAGGACACTTTTTTCTTGTGTGGTGTTTGAAGTTCTCCATTTTACTTCTTCGTAATTATGACTTGTCTTTGCTAACAAGAACTTTATATATGTAGCCTTGAGCTGTTCTTTTGGAGAATGTTCAGGCCTTAATTTGCATAGTCAGGTTTGTGCAGGTAGATTCAGGAATATAAATTACAAGATAATTCAGTATTTTATTTTGCTACTTGACTTGATCCAAACAAAGATGCATCATTAATAGTAATGTCATTTCATTTTTAAGGGCATGGCACAAAGTCATAAAATTTATTTGTTAAACGTTTATTTCCAATCGATATAATTATGGATTTATGGTACAGTGGACTCGTGGTTTATTATACGCACTATTGTAGCTAAAGAATATATACTCTTAAGAAAATCTTCACAGCAACTTAACATGTAGCACTTAGTATGCATTCAATAAATATTAGGAGATATTTGAGCAGAAGGTCTAGTGAAAGTTAATCCCTAAAAGGATTAAAGATTTTGCCCAAAAAGCTGTGGACAAAATTCTTATCTTATCTCAGATGACTTTGGAATCACCTGTACATTTAGACATCTTTGGTGAGTCTCTGACTTTATGGTTGTTGTTAGCTAGTTTTAAAGCTGTCCTAAATGTCAACAAAAATCTATTGAAACTTCTGTTGAAATCCAACAAATTAATGTAAAGTGGTTTTAGCCTAAACCTAATCCTGTTTGCCTCTTTGGTCAGAGTCTAATAAAATATTTTAGTCAGCTTATGCTAACCCTGCTGTTTTGTTATTTACTTCTGACCAGGTCAGAAGATATGTTTAAGAAACGTTTGCAGCATGTTAACTGTGTGAAAACATTGGTTAAATCTTTGCAAAATATGTCCCAACATCTCCAGTCTTTGATTTAAAAAGTCCTTATATCTCAAGGTATATTGTCTAACTAGTTAGAGCAGAAGAGTGACTACCTTGTGTCTGCAGTGGAATAAAACAGGCCATTTATACCTAAACATTTTCAGAATGTGTTTTGAGCAACAGAGTTGTTTAGGGCCAGTTATTTGTGTTTCAAACAATGTCAGAAATGATCAAGGTTACCAGGTTGTAGTCAGACCAATTCTTTACTTATCCAGAACAAAGACCAAGTTCATTATAAGCCAGGGTTTAAGCAGACCAATGAAACAGTCTTCAGTGTCATATTTAAAAAAAAAAAATCCCAAACCTGAGTAGCCTGACTTAATCAATGAACGCAGGAACGTCTGTCTCGATTTTCTGGTATCTGGTGTTTTAATTTTGCGTCTACAAAACTGTAGCCATCACCTTTTTAAACAAAAGGTGATATAAACATCTTGTGGAGATCCTCTATGTAGTCATCTGCAGTCACTAGTTTGCATTTTAAAAAAGGGCCAA